GTTAGCTTAATATGGGCAATGCTTTTCCATTAGACCAGGAGACCTTTTGAGGCAGAGACTGGTCTTCCTCATCTTTGTTTCCTCAGGCCCAGAACATATTAATAACCAAACAATGCTGAATAAACAAGTATGTCAAACTCCACCTAATATAGTTTTTCTCACTTATAGTCCTTTAAATATTGAGAAAAACTGAAACATACCTGTAATATTTAGGATATCCCCTCCAAAACAGAGTACATCTGAAATTGAGTAAGGGAGAGAGAGGAAAACAAGTCAAAATCAGAAGTATACCAGATCACAGAAGAATCATAGATGATAAAAGTGACCTACTGAGTTTTCCTCCTATCTTTTCTGGTCTATTTGTGCACTCTAAGGCTTAGGTTCCTTCTTCCTTCCTTCTAGCTTCTCCCCAGATTGGTTTGTACTTAGATCATCTCTAAAATGGCAGAATCTGTTCTCGTCAAAGCCACCCCCTGACTTGTGATCTGGATCCTAGGCCTACTTACCCCCTCAAGAACTTCACTTATCTTCTTCCTATAAATATTTTAAAAAACAAAAACAAAACACAACAAAATTAACCTACCTATTTTTAACTTTACCTTCTTATTTTTTTCCTACATTCCCAGCAAAAAAAATTCTCAAGAGTTGATTATACACAATTTTCTCCTCAAAGCCTATTCACTCAAATATTTTCTCTACCATTCTCTTCTCAGGTTACTGACTTCCATCTCTGCCAGTTCACTAAAATTATCATGATAATCAACAGCATTCATCTTGCTAACTTCAGTATTTTCTGACTTCACTGTATGACATCTTTCATTTTCAACCCAGCAAACTACCACCCTCTTCTAGATGGACTACTTTCCCTTTGGTATCATGAACACCACAATATCCTACCTCATTGGCTGTCTTACAGTCTCTTTTGTAGGTTATTTCTCCCTAATCATAATCCTCCCTTAGTATTCCTCAAGCGTTAGTCTTAGGCTCTCTTTATTTATACTCTTTCTATCAGCTCACACTTTCATTCCTCCATTTGGATGCTTATTGATATCTCAAGCTCAAAATATTCAAAACAGAATCTGATTTTCATTCTCAAAGCTCAGACTTTCCCATTTTGGTAAGTGATGCCACCATCAATTCACTTATGAAAGCTGAAAACTTGAGCGTCCCTTTCCTTACCACTTTCCACTGAAATTCAATACATTAGCAAATCCTGTCTTAAACCTGAAAAATATATTTCAAGTCAATCCATCTCCATACAGATCCACTGCCATATCTTGAGACCAATGGTTCCCATCTTGACTGCACACCTGAGTTGCCTGTAAAACTTTTAAAAATCCAATTCCTGAGCCTACCTCAAAATATTCTGATTTCATTGGTCTGGACATCAGGATTTTTAAAAGCTCTCCAAGTGGTTATCTAATGTGCTGCCAAGGTGAGAACCATAACCCTAGACCAAATCTCTATCATCTTTCCATAACTGTTCCAGTGATCTCTTCCAGCTTCCATTCTTACTACCTATACTTCATCAGCTCCTTATAACCCAATCTCCATGAGGCAGCTAAAATGAGCTTTTAAAAAATGTAAGTCAATCACACCACTGCCTTGCTAGAACCCTTCCACAGTTCCCTTCTGTACAAACACGTCTAATCCAAACTCCTTACTATGGCCTATATAGCTGATATTCTCTAACCTCGCCTCCAACCTCTCTTCCTCCACTAGCTATGCTCTTGCCACTCTGGCTTCTCAGTTCCTAAAACATGTCAAGCTTTCCCTCACTTCAGAACCTTTGTACTTGGCATACTTCCATCTGAAATGCCTTACCCTTGGCTCTTCACAACATGTTCCTCTTATCATTTACATCTCAGCTTAAATACCACCTATGACAACCCTAATATAGAAACTACCACCCTACAATTTTCCTTTTTTTAGCAACACATCCTATGTACTTCCTTTGTGGAATGTATAATTGATAATCATCTTATCTATTGTCTTTCCCACTAAAATGAAAACTCTACAAAGGCAGGAATTGTGTCTTATTTCCCCCTGTATTTCTAATATATAGCAGTTCCTGGTGTTACAATTCCTACCTAGTACATAATTTCTATCTCCCCCTTTCAGCTAAACTTGGTGAGAAAAATAGAAAGATCATTTATACTTGTTCCTCAGGGGTAAGGGGTGAGTCTAATAATTGTTTCTAAAGGAGGATGCTACAAAGTAAGTATTCTGATGAATCTAACAATGATGGACAAAACTGTATGAGGCACTGTCAGTAAAGAATGGGAATGTTCTGTAAGTACTACAGAGTATAAGGCCAGAGTGACTTCTGTTGGGTGGTCCTGACTAGACTGAAAGGTACCAAAGAATAGGTTTTTGCATTCTCTGCACTATTACAGTGCATGTCACAGAGTAAGTACTTAAAACATGTTTACTGCACAAATAAGGAGCTTCTTTTCCAGATTACACAAATATGCACAAGCTTGATACATGGCAGAAAATAAAGGAAATACTTACTCCTACTCAGAGGATCAAAATGCAATACCAGCGTGGAGAGATATTTTGTAAATTATATCTAATACACACACATGAGGCACATTACATCTTTGTTAGAAGAGACACCCTGAGGAATACTTTATTTTGAAATACAAACATACAAAGTTAAAATTAGCTTTTTCCCTATTTCTGAACATTGAGTCAACAGGATGTGAGACTGGGTAGAATGGCAGCTATAGGCAAAGATTGAGCTCGTCAGTGGCAACCTGAAGAACTAAGATGAGTAACACTGAAAGAATGACCCTTTCGTATCCCTTTTAAAGTACCCCAGGCCCTGTTCTGCTGCAAACCCTCAGGAGCCCAGACCACACCTTCCTTGCCCCCTATGGTCACTCACGCTCCACGATGTCACTAATGTAATAGCTGAAGATGTGGGCCAGTTTGTCCATGTCATGTTCCGACTTGCAGGTCAGGCTGAACCTGTCCATTAATGCTGTAAACCCTGACCAACAAAGCAGAAATTACTAAATTAGCTGTGAACCCCACTTTCAGGCCCTCTTCCCTCCATGTATCAATCCATGTATCAATCCGACTAGGGTAAAAGAAGCACATCTCCTGGGCGAGCAATTCCACTATCCTTTAGCATGGTTGGGGGGCCAGGCTGGTTGCTGCTGCCCCTGGCAGAATCCAGAGGGCCACACTGTCCATGTTTCCAGGGGCTGCAGGTGGTGGAGTTCCCAAGCCCCTTTTCACCTGAAGCCAGCTACCTTTTTCCCACCACCCTCTGAGGCTCCCTGGCCAAGGGAACCGTAGGATTTGTCCCCATGTGATAGAGATACCGCTGACAAGGGGAACAGATTAATGCTTTTTAGAGAACACATATTTTGAGCTCCTTGAGGAAGGCACCTTGTATCACTTGTCTTCGTATCCATGACACATAGACTCCATAACTATTTGTTAAACGACTCTCAATTAGCTGCTAGTTCTCTAACTTCTGGAACAATGGCGGGCTCTTAATTGTAGACCCAAAGAATTAATTAACTGAACGAATACAATAAGCAGATGAGGAAAAATACTTATTGGAAAATGCTCGGTTTGGGGACAAACTTGGATTCAAAGTCTGCCGTGTGGTCCGGGAGTTCTTTCCCGTTTATGAGTCACAATTTCATCATTTCTGAGGGAACTCGAGGGCTAAGCCAGATTACTCCTAAAGGCGTCCTCCTGCTCTGAAAACCGCTCTCAAAGTTTCCTGTGGCCGGAGGCCTACAGTCAAACAGCGTCTCAGCTTGCCCGGGGCCACGACGGTGAACGCCATGGCCTCCAGGAGCTGAGGCTCAACCGCCGCCCCGCTCGGCAGGTGCGGGGAGCGACGCACCTCCCCTCGCCCTCACCCGTCACGTGGACGCTAAGGAGGACGCCTGGGGTCGTGGCCAGCTCGGATTCCGATGCCTGGGGCGTCCTGAAGACCAGCAGGTCGGGAAGCAGCGCCGCCAACCGGGCTCCCACAGGCCACAAAAGCGGTGCCGTGACCGAATCACCGGACGCCATGACGGTGGCGGGGTTGCCCGCCCGTGCGCCCTCAGTGTAGTAGCCAATCCGTATCGAGGGCCCTGGCGGGGGCCCTCCCACGAACCAATGAGTGTGGGCTTCCTTGTGGTATCACTAATTGAAAGAGGCCTTAGGCCCCGCCCCACCTGCTTCTGCCCACCATCATCCAGGTGCTGGACTCCGGGGCGGGGGCAGACGTGGCAAGGAAGCGCTGGGCGTTCAGAGGTGAAGTTCACGTTTTTCTCATCTTGAAATGTGATAGTGAAGATGCTTTCAGGACAAAACGGATCATCTGCGATAAATATCAATAGGGCGGTTTTTGTGCCGTATCGTGGGTAGAAACGGGTCATCTCTGAATTTCTAAGGACAAATTCTACTTGCAACTGGCTAAACTCAGGATGGTCTTTAAATTTAACAGTTAGACTAAGGCTATTTTATCTTAAGTCCGTTTCAGTTGTTAGGGTACAATTTCTTGTTTCTGTTGTCTGCCAGGACAGGTCTATTGGGTTCCTTATGCGAGGGCGCCATGTGGCTGGTTTTCTCTCAATTTCTGGTTCTGACTTTTGTATATCGGCACACTTTAGGTTGCCAGCTTGTTCCTCAGATTCAGGAAGAAATAAAAAATCTAAAAACTTGATCTTCACTGTCTGTAGGTATACACCACCTAGTAAGTCAATGCCATTTTGGTGGGCTAATTTTACTAAAGGAATTACTTTGCATTTTGATGAACACTTCCCATAGTAAGACCAAATATATGATGAGCCCACAGGTGGCAGAAAATACTTTGTTAGTCGGGTGGGAGGGCCCAACAGAAAGGAAGAGATTAAGAGGCAAGATAACTAGGGTCTGGGTACTGCAAGTTTGACACTACACAGAGTTCATGTCTACAGAGATCACAATTTCAACATTATAAACAACTAAAACCCAGGGGATGTAGACTTCTCAAAATTCAAATTAACTTTTTAGTATTTTAATAAATTTATTTAAAAAAATAACAATTGCAATGACATCAATGATCAAATCACCTGTAGTCCCCCTACCGCTGAGGGTAAAAGATATATAATTGGAGTCCCAAAGGAAAAGCAAGACATTATCATCAGGCACTCAATAGCCATAAAATGTTGGTCCAGTGGTATAGACACTGACATGTTCAATGTACCAGTACAATGAAAATATATCCATTTACAATTATCCTGGGGAAAAAAAAGCACTCAAGAAGTGGAATAACTATTCATTAAACCAATTATTCACGCATCCATTCACTCTTTCTGCATCTAGAAGTCATCACTACAGTCACAAGGACAAATGAATATAAGAACTTGTAGCAACAAATAAAGAAAAAACCCAAAGCTCAACCCCCCACTACATGGGATATTATGGTGCACTAAATTGACCACAATAAAAGGGCCAAGAGTTAGCTGAAATGCAATGACAAAATAATAACTGAAGCATTTGATTTTAAACTCAAATGTATAAAAAAGTAATTCTGCAACATTGAAGTTGGCATCACTATGTACAAACTTACAAACACAAATAAATAGCATTTTAGAATTGCTACTGGCCTAAGTACTAGAAATTAAATCCGAGGAATTTCCTTCTGAACTCTGCCTCTTAAAGATTCCTAAACAAACCAAAGTATATAAATTCTCCATTGTTTTTTTTTTTTTTTACTATTTTATTTTTTTAAAAAGAAGGGAAGGGAAAAAGAAACAATGTGTGGTTGCCTTTTGACCTCCCCCTACTGGGGACCTGTCCTGCAACCCAGGCATGTGCCCTCACTGGGGAACGAACTGGCAACCCCTTGGTTTGCAGCCCCCACTCAATCCACTGAGCTACACCAGTGAGCAAATTCCATATTGTTGCTAGTAATCTATCATCTGAAAAATCTGGGGCTTACTGACTAAGTTAACATCCGAAACTCATATAAAGAGCCAGAAATTTCTAGTGAGCCTACTAAAGAATCATGTCCCCAACCCCCACTGGAAGCCAAGAGATAATGTGATTCCAGAAACCAGAAATACTTCACTTCCTGCTTCCTTTGCATAGCTCTGTACCTCTTTGCTACCATTAGAATAATTTCCCTTTGTGATGGTTTCTTTAGAGTTAAATTTATCTTTTCTCTTAATATAGAGTAAAATAGAAAAGCCAATCTTTACTCTTGGTATTTAAATCAAACCCAAATATTCCTCAAAAGAATTAAGTTTTCCGTCTTTGTTTCCAGAGTAGGCAAAAACTCTTCTGAAACATCTTATTTCTATCAGGGTATAATGTCTAGAAAAGAAGCGAGGCACATAACTCATCACAGAAATTGTGGCCCAGTTTCTTATACTGCAGGCATCTCTATTTCCAGTATGTAACCTGTCCCCAGGATGTGTGGATGCAATGTGAAAACCTTCCTGCACAAGGCCTGTGAAGGGGGTGGGGGGCGAACAAATAAAAACTGGAACCAAAGAGTCAGCTGCCATGGGAAGAATGAGAATGTCTGTTTTCTGGGGCCAGCACAAAGTGCTGCAGGACTGAAGTCAACATCCACCTCAAGCTCTAGCAGGTAACCTGGTGAACACCCAGAACAGCTTGACTGAATAGTGCTTTCCAGAAATTGTCAAGGACAAAATCTCATAGTTCTCCCTTTCTGTTCTTAGTAAAATGCTATAGTGTCAATGTAAATTATTCTCTTCATCTTAATGAATCCATCCCAGGCATCCATCCACTGAAAAATCACACCAAATGACAACACATGGGTATATATACTACTCTCTTCCTCTAGACTGAAACACACACAAACCCTTGTTTTCCAAATGCTGTCACCAAGCCTATGATTGAAAAATCTCTAGTTTGTCTCTCTGCTTAGGAGTTACAACCATTGTCTTCAGCACTTCAGCACACAAGATGTTATTGTTTTGTTCTCTACTTAGTTAGGAAAGGAAGTTTTGAGTTCCAATACCTTCTAAATTGTCTTAAAAGTAGCTAGAGTAGGAACTATGGTCCAGATGACCTGTCAACAGATGGACAAGAAGACAACAACTGGTCAAAGCTAAAAAAGATTCAGCAATTATTACTTTTAGTGCTTGATTTTTTTATCATTCTATCCCCAGAATTAGCTTTTTCTTGGCTGGAGTCCAAAAATACCAACCTATCATCTGGGCAGACAGAAATTCTTATTATTACCACAGATTAGATGAATGTATCTCAGAATTTATTATTTCCATATTATGAGATGGAGCTTCCTCGCCTGGAAGTCATCTCTGAATACAAAGTGTCCATTTACTTAGCCTGAGATCCCTCACCAGAGGGATGGATGGTGTTTAGATTCCATGGGAGGGAGTGGGCTCCAGCTTCCCTGAATTCAGTTTAGCTTGAGAAGGTTATTCTCCTCTGCTGAGATAGTTGGCTGGCTTCACCAGTCAACTTAAGTGCTGTGTGTGGTACTGCTGGGCTGGCATGAGTCCCTTGCATCATCCTAATCCATGAAATGTCAATGTCATCAACAGTCTAAAACAAGTCCTGACTGAAGGGGTGAGAAAGGCTTGCCACTTCAATTTGCCAGACATTGCTGCAATTATAATACTGAGCCACTTATTAAAAACTAAGTGGGTTTCTCTCCCATAAAAAGGGCAGAATGTGATCATCAGTGTCCCATTGGAAGAACTGATCAATTTCCTGGAACAACGGTGAGGAACATGACCTTAATCAGGCCCATCACGTGGCCTGGGGTTAGGACACTCGGATGATCTGTGTCATTGCTTCTTCATCTGCTTGGTTTGGATCCTAGAGACAAAGAAAGCATAATAATGAGGAAAAATCCTTTACAAAAGCAACAGGAACTTGAGGCTATCACCACTTTATCACCAAGGGCATAGACACAGTTTTACCAAGTAAACCAAAGGCCTACATACAAGTCTGAATACATGGATTAAAATGCAGCTCCTTTAGGAACCAAAGAGATAATAAACCTTATTCTTTTTTTTTTTAAGATTTTATTTATTTATTTTTAGAGAGAGAGAAGGGAAGGAGGAAGAGAGGGAGAAAAACATCAATGTGTAGTTGCTTCTCACAAGACCCCTGCTGGGAACCTGGCCTGCAAACCCAGGCATGTGCCCCAACTGGGAATCAAACCAGTGACCCTTTGGTTCACAGGCCAGCACTCAATTCACTGGGCCACTCTAGCCACGGCAACCTTACTCTTAAAAGGATTAAAAATGTGGCCTGGCACTCCATTACTAAACACTCTGGAGTGGATAGCACACCTGTGTTGTGCTCTACCATAATGTTTAAGGTTTCTTAGAGGTAGCTAAGCAGAAGACCATGAGAAGCTATTATCATGCTGTATTTTTGTGTCATTATTTTCTGATCATCATATTTAAATGCTGAGCACTTAGCAGAGGTAAGTGACATCAGAATTTAGTTACTTTAATACATTCACTTTGTTAAGAGGTTATAGTGTAGCTTAAAGGTTATAGATAAACCTGATGCCCAGATGGGAAAACTGATTTACTAGGACTAGAGTCAAAAAGTTAGGAGCCCAGCAAGGACCAACTTCTAAATCTCTTGGTACCCACTCAATATTCCTGCCACTAAACTCTGCCTGCTGTCTCATACTTAAAACTTGCAGTGTTAAGACAAGGATTTGTCAGTGGAATCTTTTTGCAATTGTCCATAGTAACCCATCTTCAGTTCTTCCACACCAAGGCTCTAAAGCCTGATTTGGCATGATCCAAGGAGATGAAAGATTTCTTAGGTGGTAGGACTGGAACATGGTCTTGATCAATGAGTGAGAACAACAATAGCATTTACTGAGCTCTCACTATGCACTAGGCTAAGCAGGTGCCTAATGTGACTTACTGCATGAAATTCCCACAACGCTCCTGTGAAATAACATTAGCACCCACTTTAAGGTGAATTAAGGCTAAAAGAGGCTAAGTAACTTGACTGAGGTCATATTATTAGTTCATGGAATTAGGAGAGTTCCTAGCACAATGCCCATAGCTGGCATCTCTACATCTATATCCTGCAGGAAAAAGTAATGAGAAAGGAGAGTAGGAATTACTACAGATAGTAATTACTAGCACAGAAGGTATGAATTAATAGCATAGAAGGAATCAGTGATCATGTGTGGGGATACTGAGAAATCCCACTATGACTATTGAGAGGCATGATGAAGAGCAATAGCTTAGATGTCACACAGAAATAGTTTGAGATGTGATGCAGTAAGAAATGAGAAACCAGCATGCATCCTTGAGCAGGGGCCTGACATCATTATAAAAGCATTATCTTACAAAGACCAATATGACAATAGTGCAGGTGCAATGTGATAGTCATACAGAATGAAGCGTCAGTAAATGCGAGGAATCCATTAGTTCAACCAACATTTACTGAGTGCTTGTTTTGGATGGGGCATTAGACTAAAAGCAAAACAATCCTCTACTCTTTACATAGCTGATAGCCTCGTGAAGGAGACAACCACTACACAATTATAGAAATAAAACACTTCAATTATTATTACACTCTAAAGAAGATGAGGGGAAATAATGGGATAGGAAAGACCTATTCTGGATAGGATGGGCTAGGGACAGCCTCTCAGATTTAAACCAAAACCTAAATAATGAGGAGAAAGCCATGCAAAAAGGTGCAGAGTGAAAAGCTTTACAGATCAGCTATTTTAAAGGTAAAGGTTCTAATGGCAGGAGAGAAACCAATAAACAGTGTAGCAAGAGCATAAAGATCAAGAGGAAGAGAAAATAAAACCAGAGCTAGATCATGCAAGATCTTGTTTGTCAAGGACTGCAGCCAAGGGCAGGAGTAGAAGGGGTTTAAACAATACAGTGACGTGATATGATACACATTTAAAAAAGATCACACTAAAATATGAATAATGGACAAGCAGGGCACAAGAATGGAAGAAGAGAGATCAGTAGGCAGCTGTTACACTAACTGAACCAAAAGATAGAAGATTAGACTAGGCTGACAGCAATGGGAGGGAAAAAGGTAAACTGATTCAAATTTTATTTGAGACAAAACCAAGACAATTCTAGCTTTAGTGACTGGGTGGATGGACATGTCACTTGTGAGATGAGTGGGATGAGGCATTAAAAAGAAAAAAAATCAAGCGTTTTATTTTGGATATATTGACTCAGAAATGCCAATATAATAAAATCTGTGGAATCAGATTACGAACCAGTATAATACAATAGTTACAGAATTAGGTCTGGAATTACGAGGTCTGTCCAGAAAGTATCTAGCCATGTAATATGAAAAACATGCTTATTGAAGAAGATCTGAGACAAGAAATGCTGTACACAGGACAATGATGTCTTAGTCCCCTTCAAAGCAGGGACCTTAGGACCTCAATAGTTCTCTCAGCGTCTCTTCCACTGTTCAAAACACTCTGCAAATTCTTTGTTGGAATTGCCATCAGCTGCCCTGTTGTATTTTCCTGAATCTCATCGATGGTCTGAAATCTCTTCCCTTTAAAGGTGATTTTAATTTTGGGAAAAGCCAGAAGTTGCAGAGTGCCAAATCTGTTTTGTAGGGAGGCTGAATCACCTAGGTGATTTGATGTTTTGTTAAAAAACTCTGTACAAGACGTGATGCACAAGTGGGCATGTTGTTGTGATAAAGCTGCCAATCACCAGTTGCCCACAGCTGTGGCCATTTTTGTTGTACTGCATTTATCAACTGATGGGAAACATTGAGGTAGTACTCTATTAATCGTTTGGCCTGGAGAGGCATACTCATGATGGACAATACCTTCCCAATTAAAAAAAAAGACAACAACAAAATACCAATAGTTAAGATGGTCTTGATCTTGCTGAAACTTTACCACACCTTCCTTCTTTGGCTATGGAGAACCAGGCGACTTCCACTGGGATGACCTGGCCTTGGTTTCTGGACCATAGCTGTAGACCCACCATTCATCTCCGGTTATGACCTTCTTGAGGAGATCTGGTTCATTGGTAGTGGTTTGAATCAAGTCATTAGCAACTAAGGCACAACGTTCCCTCTGCTCTGGTAGCAGAAGCTGTGGAATGAATTTTGCCATGACACATTTCATGCCAAGATCCTGTGCCAAAATCTCAGACACAGTTTTTGGAATCCCCAGATCAGCTTCTAGCTCTCACACAGTCAGTCACTGATCCTTGTTGATTGCAGCCCATACATGTTCAGTATTCTCAGGTGTTCTGTTTGTTGCGAACCTTCCAGAACATGGATCACTCAAGAGATTCTCGACCATTCATTGAAGTGTTTGTGCCACACTTGTTGCTCTACTCAGTCATTTTGAATGTGACAGCCACACAGTACATATGCTCATTCAATGGCATCTACCACCTCCACTGACTACTACAGTGAAGTTGTCAGTGTTCATGCGTGTACATTCCAGCCCACTCTCTGTGGCTGCCAGGTTTCATCAATGTCGCACAAACTGTTCTCACTGTATTAACAATGGCTGGACTTTTTCCGGACAGACCTCATATACTGCCTGGGTTTAAATTTCAGTTGTACCATTTTACTAAGTATTTTACCTAAGGCAAACTATTTAACCTGTCTGAACCTAAGATTCAACTCTAAAATGGAAAGGTAATTCTTTTTTTTTTTAAAGATTTTATTTATTTATTTTTAGAGAGAGAAGGGAGGGAGATAGAGAGAGAAACATCAATGTGCGGTTGCTGGGGGTTATGGCCTGCAACCCAGGCATGTACCCTGGCTGGGAATCGAACCTGCGACACTTTGGTTCGCAGTCCTCACTCAATCCACTGAGCTATGCCAGCCAGGGTGGAAAGGTAATTCTTAACTCATGGGGCTTGAGGTTGCTGTAAAGATTCAGTGAGAAAAAGTGCTTATAAAAGTACTTAACATAATGACTGGCACATGGCAGTAAAGTGTTAGCTGCTATTGTTCTTTGAAAATCAAGACAAGTGAAAATTTCAAGAAAAAAATTAACATTAATAACTGGCAAAAATGGGGAGAAAAGGCCACTGGGTTGAAGACCTTTAGTGCTTTAAGCTGAAGGTACACAATGTTGCATTCAATTTAGAGAATATGATTAGTCCTTACTGTCAAAATAGTAGAGGATAGTGCCAAGGCTTCCACCCAAGAAAATACAAAGTAATAAAGATGAAAGGTATAAGTCTTCTTACCTGCATATGAGGACTATCTTTTTCCTTTGGAGAGAAAAATCGTCCGCCTTCACCACGCTTCCGTGCCATGGCATGACGGTGCCGAGACTCATGCAGGTATTTCTAAAACAAGAGAAATAAAACCATTTAACTACTAGCTGGAACCAACATAGTTATCTAATACAAAGATTCCAAATTTAATAGTTTAGAAAAGCAGTGATCAAAGCCACCAGGGGTAATTACGACTTTGAATTATGAAGAAAACTTTGGAAAAAAATGAGATAGCTGCTAACCATATATAACTACCATGAAACTGTGAATGCTACATGAATATAATAATAATAATAATAGACTCCCCAGTGATATCACAGAAATCACTACCTTCCTCCCAGTAGACATATCTTTCTCCTTTGCTTTAACAGACCAAATTTTAGTTGGGCAAATGGTTACTCAGTAAAAACACTCAGTTCCTACTCTTATTGACAGGTAAGTGTGGCCATGTAATTAAACATTTGCTAATGAGATACATAAAGCTTCCTGAAAGTTTTCTTGAAAGAGAGCTGCCTTTTTTATTGCATTTGCTCCTAGGCTGGAGCACAAGCAGCTATCCTGGCCTACAATGAGCTCACTAAGAGTATTAGATAGAACAGAATAGGAGAATGGGTCTTGAGGACTGGAAATGTGCTACTAGCCTATGACAATTTATTTCTGGACCTTTTTTCTGTAATAAAAGATCTGTTTAAGCCAGTGTTATTTTGTTTTTACATTTGCGGCTGCATATAGTAACAGCAAATGCTAACTAGCTATCTATCTACCTTTAATTGTTTTAGAAGGTACTCAAGGAAACAAACCATATAAAAGGTAATTAATTCCCAAAGGAGAACCCTGGTATTCTTTTCCTACAGGCTTCTCAATGTTATATTACCCTTCTTTCCTTTGGAATTTTCCCTTCTGCCTCTAGTTTGGCCCGGGCTTGCCTCCTCTTAAGTATGCGGTGGTACTGTTTGGCATTCACATAGAGAGGCTCTTCTTCAAGCATCTCTGCTCCAGGTAGAGGGATCCTTTGAATAGCAGGCACAGAGCCAGCACCAGGCACCATCTGTGTGAAGAGAAAACCAGTTTATTAAGTAGTTACATGAAGTATGGACATAGGAAACAGTTTTTTTATCCCTGAATACTACCAAGAGTAGCTTTTACATGGCACTCAGTTAAATGCATTTCCTGGAGAAGAATTATACTAAATGCATTTTAAACAAACATTACACATGATTGTCATAGGGGACCCAGGAGCTAAGAAATGATATAGCCTGGTCCAAATTCTTGTCCATGTATGACTCCATTTTCTAGGAATGTCTGCTGCCATCTAATGTCCAGAACAATAATCGTAAGACAATAAAGCAGTACAAAGAAAAATAGGTACAAGTTTTTACGTACTATTCAATGTCTATAATTATACAGATAATTTAATTAAGTTACTATATGATTCTAATTTTTCAAAGCAAACAAAAACAAAATACTGTACTCAAAGATACTGTACTTTGAGAAAAATACTTTCTCAAAGACAAAATACTGTACTATATATATGAAGAAACAAGTCTCTTTGGCCCCACTCCCTCCTCAACTGTAATAACTTTGAGTGTCTATATTGTTTCTTCCAGTAGTTTCCTTTACCTCTGTGTAAGCTTCTACTACTCAATTCTTAGCTTACTCATTTTTGGTACTATGTACTGACATCCTATTTTGATAGATGAGGATTTATCTTTCACACACACCACCCAACTCTCCTCCCCTATCTTTCCTATATATTTATGTCACACACTTTTCCGTTTCTCTGATACAATCTTTCTAATTTTTAGTTTATTTCTTGTTTCATCCTAGGAACAATGTATTTTCCAATTGCCAAAGACTAGTAATCTAACTGTTCCTTCATTATTTGAATTCTGAATAAGATCACATAAAAGCAGACATTTACATCTGTTTAAAGGCTACTGTATCTCCAACACTAAGAATAACGCCTGGCATGCAGCAGGTCCTCAGAATAAATTATGGTTGGCTATAATGTTTATTGTAAAAGTAAATGTCTGAAAGTACCTTAAGGATCAATCTCAGTTCCAAGAGGTCAACGTTATAAACAAGTTTTATAACAGACATCAAAATGCCAGTTCAAGAATTTCTCAAAGACAAAGAGATACATAGAAAAATAAATTACAGATGAGAACAGTGAGCTGAAGAACCAATATTCTTACCATTACCATCCCTCCTGAATTGACCACATTGCCTGCCACTGGTAGTGTCACAGTGACAGTCCCTTGTCCACTGCTGGTTGTATTGGTGTTGGCTCCTGTCTGAACAATCTGTGCTCCTGCCAAACTGGCTGCTGGGATGGTGATCATGCCTGAAACAGGGACTGTAACTTTAAGAAAATAAAGCAACAAACAGGCACACAGAAAGAAGGGAACACAGTTAGTCCCTCTTCTATCTGGCACACACTCATTCACCCTGGAAAAACACACAAAACAGCATAAAGTGGGGGAAAAAAGCACTCATTCACTCTTTGCCTGGTTTACGATATAAAACCCGTGTAATCACAATCTTTGAAATTCTATTAACTGCCTGGGTTCTAGCTCTAAATAAATCTATCCTTAAAGTGGATACTTTCCTGGGCATTTCAGTAAGTTTTCAATGGGTGGTGAGGCAGTTTGGAGGCCTCCCCTTTTTTCATAGGTCAGTCTGACTATAGCTATACTCACTGTTTTTGTACATATGTAGAATCTGCTTTAGGATGAAGATTTTATAAACTTACAAACTATTCCTCCTAATTGACAATGAACCAATCAGTTGCAGGTCTAAAACTTAAAATTAAATCAAGCATTCCAAGTCCCCAAACTATCAACAGCAGCACCTGAAGAGGTATTCACCATTCTTTTCTTGAGCTCCTGTCAGTGCTCAATCTAGTTCAGGCCCTCTTCTGAGTCATATGAGAGTGCATGGTCACTGCATTCACTGGATCTTGTATATCACTAAGTTTTGATCACAAGTCAAACCTTTAGTCATGGAATCTGAGACATCCTTTTTAGATTTAACTATGACAAATGCTTCCAAAAGCTCTTAAATTCAGTTTGGGCCATCTCCTCCTCTCTCTGAAATATATTCCCCCCTCAAGCCATATGTCATCTCTCCCTTCTCTATGCATCACCTGGTCCTAGAACATACCTCTATCAGGGCTCTGCACTGTGTTTGTTCACTTGTATGCCTCCTTTATTAGACTACAGACTTTTGAGAAGAAAGCTCTTCTTTCCTAGCAAAGTTCTACATACATAGTAGACATATGTTAAGTATTTTTTGGAATAAACTATGAATGAAGTGGCCCTGAAAAAATACACCTAAGCAGCAACGATATGCCAAATGTCAAGCTGACTTCTGATCCATGTCTCCCTCTATCAACAAAGAAACTCCTATTTCCAATCTTCCTACTTAAAAATATTTCTTCCCAGAGAGGATTAAAAGCTTACATAATCCCTAGGACTAGTCTTTTAACAACCACTGTAGGGACTCCTACAAATGGAATCAATGTTGGTCATGTATTGGTGACAAGGAACCAACAATCAATGGACACTTGAAGTCTTATTTTCTTGTTCCAAAATGTGTCATGTAGAGGTCATCACTAAATTTCTGCAGTATCATTTGCTCAAGGGATGAAAAAGATGCCCCCCCAAAAGTAGACAGAAATGAACGGGCACACTTACCTTGCTGGAGAATGGTGCCGTCAGCATTAACTGGCTGATAGACGATAGTCTGCCCTTCAGCAGTCTGTGCTACCTGCTGCCCCTGGACAGCAATCTGTTGCTGTGTCTGTAGGAAATAAATCATGACACAATTTAACAGATTCTAAGACATCACATGCAAAAAAGACCATGTAGTCTTTTTCTTAAAAAATATTTTTGATAGCCCCCCCCACCCCGTTTCTACTACATGTGAAATACTAGGCTGAGCTGTCTGAGCCTTACAAATCAGCTGTACTCCTGTGTTCACAGAGCTAGTGGAATCACCTGAGTCTGGCCTGCCGTGACGGCTGTCTGGGGCTGCTGGATGATGATCTGCTGCGTTTGGCCCTGCTGGCCCTGCACCTGCACAGCCTGCCCACCCTGGATCTGGATCTGTCCAGGAGGAACCAACTGAATCTGTGGAAGACAACAAAAAGAAAGATTAGTACTCCGCTGACACTGGCCTCTTTTGGCCCTGGAGTGTTAGTTACCCAAACTCCTCTATAGAGTGGAAAATGCTTTGGGGGGCGGGGGCAGAAGTCTTGTTCTGCTCTTATTTGTGAGAGATTAGCATGTTTTCCACTCATGAAACAATGGGGGAATTTTGACTACTGTCTGGATGATATTAAGGCATCAATGTCAGTTTTTTAAAGATGATAATGCTGACACGGTCATGTTATTTTTTTAAATCATGTTTATTTAATAATACATTCTGAAGTATTTCTTACAGGTGAAATGATATATATTCAAAATAATTCTTGAGAAAGTAGGTAAATGCAGATGAAACCATAAAGACTGATTATGTATTGGTAACTGTTGAAGATGGGTATGGTGATTCATCACACCATTCTCATTTTTGTCTAAGTTTTTTATAATAAAATGTTGAAAAAATAAATTAAATCACTATACTAAAGCTGGTGACACCCCTTCCAGATCATATTTTATAAATTTCATATAAATGGCACCATATTGTTTCTTGTTACAAGTTATTTTTAAATATAATTTATTATTTTTCTAGTCAACATTATTTTCAAGATATAGCCAGTTGAAATAGAAGTAGTTCGTTCATTTCACTTGATGAAAAGTATCACATTAAATAATCATACTATAATACATTCATCCATTCCTGCCAATATTTGGGTTTGGTGCTATCCATGGTGTGTCGCATCCTCTAGGGATCCTGGAACATGTCCCCCACGAATAAAGGGGACTACTACAGTTAAATGAGTTTTCCAAAAAAGTGTCTTTAAGAAACCCTTCTCTACTCCACAGCATAAAGAAAATTCTCCTATAATGAGAATCTAAAAGTTTCCCAGTATGCTTTTCTTACATTTAGGTATTTAATCTACTAACAAGTTGTTACTATTATTTTTAATTCTCACCTTATGATATGTTTATTGATTGTAGAGCTAGGGGAGGGAAGGAAGGAGGGGCAGAGAGAAACAGAGAGAGAAAGAAACATCGATTGGCTGCCTCACACATGTACCCTGACCAAGGATTGAATATGCAACCCACGTATGTGCCCTGACCAGGGATCAAACCTGCAACCTTCTGGTGTATAGGACAATGCTCCAACAGAGCCAACCAGGTAGGGCAATCTAACAAGTAGTTTTGTATCTAGTCTGAGGTAGAGATTAATTTTCTTCTTCTGTATCATTCTTTTTTTAAAGAAAAAAATTAGAGTTCATATACATTATATTAGTTTCAGGTGTATAACACAGTGATTTGACAGGAGTATGTACCTTATGAAGTGATCACCACAAATCAAACTAGTCATTATCTGTCACCATAAAGTTATCACGATACTGACTGTATTTCCTATGCCATACATGACATACCCATGACTTATTTTATAACTTCAAGTTTGTAATTCTCAACCCTCTTCATCTTTTTTGTCCTTTCCCTGCTGCCCTCCTTTTAACAACCATCAGTTTGTTTTCTGTACCTATATCTTTTTCTGTTTTTTAGATTCCACATATAACTGAAATCATATTTGTCCTCCTCTGACTTATTTCACTTAGCATAATACCCTCTAAGTCCATCTGTGTTATACATGTATATCATTCTAAAACCACTTCTTCACTATTATTTTATATTATTTTCCAATATTCTTCAATCTATTTCTTGGCTCTCTACTCCAGTTCCATTGTTTATATCAAGCCAGGGATCGTCACCTAAAATTGTATGCAAAATTTTCCATGTATCTGGACATCTACACCTTTTTCTAAGAGAGCATACGGTCTCACTAGAATTCTAAAATAGAGAATGCAATATAAAAAAGGTTAAAAAGTATTCTTCTAAAATAAATGGTTATTAAAAACAATAATGAGAAGCAACCTCTTACAAAAAAATGGGTATCTTAAGTATTCTAAGAAAGGCTATGGAATCTTACCTAGATAGAGGCTTATATATGTTATAAGAAAACAATTTTACCAAGATGGCTTGATTAGTTACAGTCCTGCTTAGAGGGAGGAGAATATAATAAATCACCCTGTCAGAGACTCTTAGAGTCAAATAAATAAGTACATACATATATTAATTAATCAAATTCCATAAATTCATAGAATTTAGAGCTGAAATAAACCCTTGGAATCACCTGATATAAACTGCATTTTCAGATGAGAAAACTGACCATCAAATGACTTGGCCAAGATTCAAAAGCTTGTCTAATGGCAGACCTGGGAATGAAAAGTCAGGTCACTGTACCTTGAGCACACTGTTGCAAGCCCTGTATCACACTGTCTCCATTCAAGAGTGAAAAGGCAGGCATGACAAGGGAGGGCCAAAGAGGAGACAATGAGAGGAACAACAGAAATGAAACAGCAGTGTAAAACAGAGTAAAGCACACATACTGAAAATATATTTAAAGCCTCATACACTCATTCATGGAAAAATGTGGAAACTATTTTTAATCCTAACCACAATTCTACTGTGGCAAAAATACACCAACTTTAAAAATTCTCCTACCCCTTATCCCAACAATCCCTCCACTCCAAAGAAACTGCTCTAAGAACTAATTCAACTGAAAAATAAAACTATCATGCTCAAGTAAATTTGCAGTAACCTTACCTCTAAAAGCAAAAGTAAATACATAAATGAAAACAAAGGAAAAAACCTTAAATGTACTTTTTAAGTTGTAAATTCTGATTCTTCAAATTGATCGACCATTATGAAGGAATTTAAAATAAGAAAATTCGCCCTGGCTGGTGTGGCTCAGTGGACTGAGTGCTGGCCTGTGAACCAAAGGGTTGACAGTTTGATTTCCAGTCAGGGAACTAGGTTGCAGGTTGGGTCCCCAGTTGGGGGCATGCCAAGAGGCAATGGATCCATGAATCTCTCCCACACCAATGTTTCTCTCCCTCTCTTCCCCCCTCTCTAAAGATATATAAATAAAATCTAAAAAATAAATAAACTTACTTAAAAAATTAGGTGGAAATACAGTAAATTAAGAAAACAAAACAAAATACAACCACATGCATGGTACAACCAGGCTCAAAAAGTATGCATAAAAATAAACTGCGAGGAAGAAGAGTGGGGCAAGAATTTATAAATTAAAAATATTCAAGGGACATTTCATCCAATTTCCATTTGTGAACATTACTGGAGTCTTGGCTAGTACGTTGCAAGTTAATTGTATTACTTATCTATTTGCGTATCTGAAGTTTTCATGGAAAATAAAGAAGTTTGAAAAAAAGTATGCATAAAAACTACAAAAGAATATGGAAAACTTTAACATTTGATTTATGAACCTATTTTTTGTTCATTTTCTTTTCCTAACTTCCTATGAGAAATACCATTCATTTTTTTTAAAAAATTAACTATTTAAGGTTATAAATTTTGCTCCAAATATAGTATTAGGTGTGTGTGATAGATATGGACAGAAATATTTTCTTTTTCATTACTTGCTGGATAACTCAATTATTATTTACATGGAAAGAAAAGAGTAACATTTCTGAGCAAAAACAGGAACCTCTAAAACAGACTGTAAATTTCCTTCCTCCCTGACTAGAAATGCCAACATAGGTGACCCAGTGAATTATTTTCATTAAACTAGATTCCCATCTTTTTATACTCTTTACATTGATTCAAAATCATGCCTAACGTAGTCCTTACCAGACTACAATTTCTGTCTAGTCTTGCTTTATCGGAGTACAATACAGGTGGAATATCAACTAAATGCAAATAGAAGGTAGGAAGCAATTAAATGCAACAGTACCAACTGTCAAACAGTTTGTAATAAATTATTCTTTAAAAACCTCTATACTAATGTTCTGTCTAAACGCTTTTTCATACGACTCACCTGCTGTAAACCCTGTGTCCCAGATACAGGTACTTGCATGATGGTTTGACCTTGTCCACTAGGGACAGCCTGGACCATGATGGGTTGGCCAGTTGATGTGATTAACTGGCCTCCACTGACCTGTACCATTAATGGCTGCCCCTGGACCTGGAAAGAAATAAAATAAGAACAATGAAATAACATAAGACACAAAATGGGTTTTACAAATGTTAAAAGACAATCACTGGAACTATTTTGCTGCCTTGCTAAGGGGTAGGGGAAAAAGGTAGGAGATCCTAAGATAATAAGTCTCAAGTCCTTGTCCTCAAATTCATTCTTCTTCAAGCATCTACGGTATGTTTGACTGAAGGCCAAATTGAATGCTTTAAAGTCAGATGTAATGGAGTACAACTAGTCTTTGTAAGTCTCTATACATGTAAGGCATTTACCACTAAATACAGGCTAAATCCACAAGAAGCATTTAATAAAAATGTCAAGACTATTTGCCTTTTTAGACTAATATCCAGCAATGGTCTCTAGTAAGTGCTGAAGAGGAGGCAATGAGAAAGGTAGGTGATGGTGGTGATGATAGTTAAGTACAAATTCTAAATAACCTGAAGGGAATAAATCAAACTGTATCCAGCAATGACTCCAGGAGGCAGGGTAGCAAGCTGCTCTAGAATCTTATGCAGAAGACCCTTTCTCCCCAGCTTCTCAAGAATAAGTGAAATGTACATCCTTTGCCCTCTTCACCTTACACTGGGAATTCTAGTCTGGTGGTTGTTTAAGGAGCCCACTAGTAAAAACTGTCGAGAAATATTTTCTGGTCAGTTTGCAGTATCTGGTGGAATTCTCCACACTGAACCTTGCAATGCCTGCAGTTATTTTAACTTTAATAGAAGCAATGACAAATATGGAAATTAGAGCACTCAAATATACAAAAAAAAAAACAAAAAACCCCCCAACTTTCAAGTTCCCATAAACAGAATACTCTAGAAGCCAGAACATTGTAAGTGCTCTGTAACACCTTGAGTCCCAATATAAAAATACCTAATAACTAACAGAATGCTTTCTAGAAGCCACCCCCCCGCCCCAGGCCATTTTAAAAGTGAAATGGAATGTTCAACAGAATAGCTAAAAGTCAAAAACTTTCAGTTTCAGGTTCTATCTTTGTTTTGAGAAATTACTTGTAACATTACAAAAATAATTTATAAGACAAAAATACTCATTCTTAATGCTAGTAAAAGAATGTTCAAATAAAGTTAATCACAAGATCAATCAAGGAGCTCCTCTGAAGTGTACCAGAATCTTTGGAAATATTCAAACTCTTAGCTTTTGTTAAGCCATTCCTTGAGGAATTCCACTTCAGTATTAAGGATTTTACAATCCAATTCTCATGCTTTCTCCTTCCCTTACTTCTCCACCCCAAATTAAATGCCCTTTGCTACACCAATGTCTGCATGTGCTCTATCAGGAAAGATTTTTTCCAGAATATTTATTGCATGAATAACTGAAAGGACTACTTAAAATTCTCCAAAATAATAAGACCCTTAAGGAATGGTTTCCATTATTTCCATAGAGTATTTCCATTTCTTTTAAATAAAAATCTACATAGGTAGGGAATACAAGTTTTAGGGCACAACTATTAATAATTTTCGGGCTATTCATCACAACTGCTCCCCTTGTTGACATGCTGTAAGTGCACATAATAAACCATTTGAGACTCCAAGGAACCCACTGAATTTACAACATATAAATGATTACAAAGACACATGCATCAAACAAAAAGCCATACAGTTAAGAGCATGTTACATTCCCATTCCACAAGTGGTTAATGACAATATTTTATATATCAATAAGGTGAAGCAAGCATGAAAAACATGAATTACAAGCTGCTGAACTCTGAGATACAAATATAGGTAGGGAGAACTTACAAGTTCAGGTTCTTTCAGCTAATTTATGTTCACAATTGGCTGTATATCATCAGTACACAGGATGGGTGGCAGATGTGGGGGTGGGCCCAAAAGGTAAAGTAAAACAATTACAATAAGGGGTAGTTAACTACAGAATGTTTAGCAGTAGTAGTAATCAAGTGAGATGCCGGTTTTACATTCTATATCTGACTTTGAAACATTTCCTTTAAATGGAGGGAAAAAATATAAAGCACTCAAGTCTTGTCAGTTTCTCAAAAATATAAGGTAATTTTAGTAAAAGTAACCTGGAGACAAAGAAGAGACTAATGCTTCTACCCCTAAATTTATGTAGGACCTGGTCGAAATATCAGCCCAATTTAAGATATTTAACTTGGACAACATAATGTTAGGGGACTGCCTTGTTTAAGTAAGAATTCTTAATAGTGGCTCTAACACCTAAGACCTATGGAAAGCAGACCCCACTTGCGTCCAACCTGGAGGGACAGTATAATCTTTGAAGATCTAATAAAGACAGGTCATCTTCTCCCCAAGGAACAGTAAAAGGCAGCAGTTAGGAGATTAACAGGATTTAGTCATTAGATAAAACTTGCCAAGTATAATGATTATTTTGCAGCTGACTTGTCCTTTTAGTGAAATGAAGCACAATCTAGCTTAGCTAATATGCATGTATTTTCTTCTCTACTATTATATCCATGAAAGTTCACCATGCAATTTGATGCAGTTTGGGCTCTAAGTAAATTCTAACATCACTTGTAACAATTCTTTCCAAGGCATTCCCAAAGAAACACCTAGCCAAATGCTGTTTCCAGAAAATTCATACTAGAATCACTACATGACTTGGCATGAAACGTTAGAAAATTGGCATGTTATAAGCCTCAAAGACAAGTTAGCATCAAAGACATGCAGCTGACTTTGCCATTCCTCCTTGAGAGCCTACCACGAACAGCACCAGACATGAGGAAAGGAAAAGTTCATGCAGTGCTTACAGAGAATCAGAGAGGGCACCACTACCTGGAGGGTCTGGACTTGCTGGCCTGAGGCGGATGCCACCTGGGCCTCAGTCTGCAACTGGACAGCAGTGACACCACCCTGCTGCTGAGAACAGGAACAGGAAGAGCTTGAAATGTGTCAGGAAGGAAATGTATGCTTCAAGACAGGAGATCGCCTTACCTCTTATAGTAGAGGGAGTTTCTTTCAATAGCCCCACCCTACACAGGACTTTCAAATTGTACAGACTCCCTACCTGAAGCTGTTTTGTAGGAGGTAATAGGATTAAAGATACTAGATAAAGATATTTGTCCCCAGAGTGAAATTCAAAACACACTTCCACAACTCAAAAAGGTCAAAAACAGTTGTCATCATTAACACAAATTTTTTAATGCAGACCTTCCCTCTAGAAATAGGCATTTGGTCCTTTTGCCTACAAAGTTATTTTAATGCTCTTTTTATTCCTTTAAATGAGTTCACAAGAACAAAGGTTTTAACAGCTTTGAAGCTACAATAAAGAATTTCTGGGTCTCAAATGCAATCACTAGAAAGGAAGAACAAAGCAATCACTGTGAACCAAAATCATTTTCATGAGGTCACTGCTTCCATGTCCCAAACCTAAGATTACTTATACTTAGTTGGACTACCTTAGAAGCAATTTCCAACCTAATTTTTATGTCCTGTAATGGTAAGTTCTAACAGGCCAATAATTCACCCACCAGGGCATTGGTGTGAATGGAGGGCCCTTTGTGGAATCCCCTTTACAAAGAGGGTAGTTGAAGGAAGCTGCCAGAGCCACAGCAGGTATACAGAAGGAAAGTCAGCAAAGGAGTTTAATTACTCTCTTTATCAAGAGTAACTCCTTCCCTTGATCATTAGATTAGACAACTCACCATCCAAACTTCCTTTGACCTCCCTGCTAACTACTTTTCTATATTATCTGAATTCCATTTTAGAAACAAAATATTCCCAATCTTGGCCTAAGATTAAATTGATACCTAACAATTTATTTTATTCGAGGGAGAAAAACAAGAGGAGTTTCACTAAAATCAGATATAAGCACCAGAAAATGTAAGCTCTGCATAAATTAAGAAAGCAACCCATTTAATTAGTAGTAAACCAGCAGCAGAGAATTCCTTTCTAATGTGTGCTTATCCAGAAGAGTGGCTGTCTAAATATCATCCTTATGGTAAAGTAGAACTTTTCAGAGTAAGCCTGTGTTGGATCAAATCAAAGAACAGTGAATTTCTTAGAAGCTGACTATCTTGGTTTGTATACTGTGGCCAAAGCCTTACTAGATCACACACTAGCTTGATCAAGAAGGGAAACAACCAAATTGAATCCAGAAAAAAACAAAAACTCCCAATTTCCATCTGAAACAGACTAAGTGTTTTGACTTTTAAAAAGATCAAAAGGGCAATTTACTATTAAACCAGGCTCCTATGAAGAGCAAATTCTCAGTAGTCATGAACTGGATGCAAAGTTCTGAACACAGAAAACGGGAGAGAACTCACAAATTCAGTCTTCAAAAAGCACTTCAGCACAAATCATCAGGCCCATTATTTATAAGATCTGGTACCTCTCAAATAATATCCCAATTGAGTAGTGCTGTTATCAGCTCCACTGCTGTCATATTTAAAGCAATCTTACTTTCATACCTGCTGCTGAATCTGTCCAGCCTGTACAACAATCTGCTCTGTTGAACTGTTGCTGTTTGTTGTATACTGCTCCATGGTCCCTCCAAGTTGAAATCTGGTACACAGTGAGCTTCACTCCGGAGAGTATAGAAGACTGTGAGATGCACTCCTATTAGAAATGTTGAGAAAATAACAAGAGTGGGATTTATCAATAAAGGCCTTGCCAAATGGTTAACCTTGATAATTTATCATTGTACTTTGCTATTTCTCATGTTTTAAAAATGCTTTTAGTCACTTCACTGGCAACCTAACCTTTCAATACTACAAGAGCAACACTTGCACCTTAGAAATACTCATTATGTTGTGATGTCACTTTGTTGCAAGGCTCACTTAACAGATTTTTAAGTCTGCACATGTCTTTAGAGAACAGTTTAATTTATAACACATATTTGTTGCCTGCCACATGTTACTCTAGTTCCCTACTACAGTAAGCAATTTAAAACTCCAGGGTTTATTATTTAGTAAGTAAATTATTCAATCTGAAGCCAAATGTTTATTTTGTTTACCAAAATCTCCATTAAGTGGAGCTAAGAAAGAAAGCACTAGCATAGATTTAGGATCTGCATTTTAATCCAGAGCTAGAAATAAAAAGGAATTGCCATATACTAATGCTGATAATAATTATCTACAGATTAAATATAATGAAACATTTTAAATGGCTATAATTTTCTCTAAAAAGAACTAGTTTTCTCAGTCTTGAATTTGAATGCTTAATAATATGCCACCCTTTATTGTATAATTTTAACTTTTTTATAGCAATTTTCAAATATATACAACAGTAATGATCATTATAATGAACCTCCATAATCATCATCCGTCTTCAACCATTCTCAACCCACAGTCAATCGAGTTTCACACGTATTTCAACCACTTTCCACCCACCCCTGGATTTCTTTAAAGCAAATCCCAGGCACCATATTATCCCTACCAAGTCCACAAATACTTTAGCATTTATCTCTAAAGAGTAAAGACTCTTTTGTCTTTATCATTCTACCATAATGATATTGTGTCTCTACAGGATCACTGATAATAGTAATAACTTATTAAATTAATATCAAATAGTCAATGTCCAAATTTACCATTCTTATACACTTGAACAATTGAATACTCCTTTCTGAAATAAGGACACAATTTAGGTAAATCCAAGTGATATTTGAGAACCTTGAATAATGACTTGATTTAAAAAATGTAAGGGTAACCACCTTGGAAATATGGGGGAGGTACAGGTATATAAACAAAATGTAGATAAATATTTTCCCTCAATTTTTCTCTAGAACTTTATAAACTCTAAAATTAGAATGATAAAATTATGTGAGCTAAGCTGCCATTATAGCAGCAAAGCATGGCACCCCTCTCCATAAATCCACACATGGTGAATGAAGTTAATCACTTATAAGGTGTCTCAATATTGTGTGAAAGAAGACAAAATATATTCAAGTGCATGTCCAAATATTTAGGAGTAAGTGTACTGATGTCGAAAACTTACTTGAAAATAAATAAATAAAAAAAAAGATAGATTGATGAATGAATGGGTGTAAGAATGAACAGATATCTGAAAAGGCAAGTATGTTACTGTACCATGTTAATGGTAGACTCTGGGTGGTGGGTACACTGATGTTTATTATAAAATTATTTTAGCTTTACCGTAGATTTGAAACTTTTAAAACTAAAATGTTGAAAGAAAAAATTGAACAAAAATTAATTAAGCTTATCACTTACAATTAAAATGGTATGTGATGTATAAGTCATAAGTACGTGACAGGATGACTATGTCATCACAGCATCGTGCATCTGGTCATACGGTTCTCTAATTCACTACCTTTGATCTAATGGAAATACCAAACAAATACCTAGTTTTCATTTGGATTTACATATAGGTCAGCCAATAAGCAGCATACATGATCGGGAACACAAGTAAATAGTTACAATAGTTACTTTCTCATTACACACTGACAAAGTGACACTCTGATCTCTACGTTAGTTTCTTCTGAATCGGTTGACTGAATAGCTCCAGGAGATAGCAGGAACAGGACAGATAATCAGGTTTTCAACCAGACTAAGTGACTGCCAGGGAAGTAAAAAATCTTCCCCAAATTCCATCTTGTCTCTAACTGCAGTATACACGATACATATGTACAACTAAAGAACTAAGGGTCATGATACAAAAGAGTATATGTGATTTCATTTATACAAAACTCTGAAAGGACCATAGTAATCTAGAGACAGAAAGTAGATTGTTGTTCCCTTGGGTGGGGGGGGGGCGGGATGAGGAGAGGGAAAGTGGGAGGTTTACTGGGATAGAGACCCTGGACCTTTCTGGAGTGATGGCAATGTTTTGGATCTTCACTGTGGTGGTGATTTCATAGGTGTATAAATTTGTCAAAGTTCATCAAAATGTAAACTTAAAAATAATTACCCTTTGTATCTAAATTATATCTCAATAAAGCTGATTTGGAAACAAGGATCATGAAGGAACGTCTTCTATATTTCAATACCTCCTCTACCCCAAACCCCCTTACTGAATGAGATTCTTTCCTTGACCATTAATTTCCAGAAATTTATCTTACTCAAATAGCATAGGAATTACTAATATATAAGTCATGCAGATTTTAACTAATTTATCCCATAGCACAAATGTTCCAAATGAAAAACATTTAAACCCACTACACTTTGCAGGGTAAAAAAAGAAGGCAGCTTCAATCTTGCAGCAGTTCTCTCTCACATTAATGTGAAAGTGATTCCGTCTGGAACGCGATACTGCTAATGGTGAATGCTGTAACACGATTGCCTTCAGTGAAGCCTTATGTTCTTACTACCGTGAGCTTCAGTTAGCACAACTGCAATAAAACCTGACATTGTCTTTCCTGAAGTGCTTCTCTGCCCAAGATTCTGACAAAATAAAGTCATCCAGATTTAGTCTGTCTACTTCTTGCTTCTAACTCAAAGTTTTGAACTTTTTTCCCCTCACAGTGTGTGTTTATTCTGGCTAGTGGGAAAATTCGCTTCTTTCCACTTCAAGGCATAGGTCCTGAAATGTAGCTAATTACTAGGAATCCATTTTATGTGGACTCACATACATTTTAGAGCTAAAACTTCCAGAAAGTCAACTATAAGCATGTGAAAATCCCTTAAAATCACTATATTTGATAGTCACTACGAAGTAAAGCCTAGAATAGTGGCCTTTGAATTTCTTTGACTACAATTCATAGTAAGAAACACATTTTATTACAAGTCACTATACACATAACATTAAAAAGGTAACAAACAAAAGTTTCATGATACTTATCTTTTATAAGATATATACTTTGACATTTTCCAATTTATTACAAAAAATCACCATCATTAGCCCACTAAGTTGCCAACTTAACAAATGGGTCCTGATCTTTGATTAAAGACTGTAGAGCTGTCCAGCTTCCTCGCTGTCTAAGGGGTTTCTGGATTAGCGTTCCTAATTTGCTCCTTTTCTCCACTAATGATGTGCCATGTTCCAGACATGGTTCTAAAGGTTTTAGAAATACCTTTAGAAATCTGACAAAGATCCTGACTTCAGAGTCTTTGAGTTTAGTAAAGAAGTAAAAATCTATACTGGAACTTATGAAAAACAAAGAAAGAAGGAAATCTGGAGAAGAGATTTCTTCCAGCTAGGAATAGGTAAATCAAGGAAGTCTTTAGGAAAAGGTGGCAAGAAAGATTTATATGTGAAGATGAGTGAGGGGGTGGAGTACTTCCAATGAAGAACCGGCATAGAAACAAGGACACAGGCCCTGGTTGGGTAGCTCAGTTGGTCAGCATGTTATCCTGGTACATCAGTGTGTTGGGTTTGATCCCCAGTCAGGGTACATACGAGAATCAATAAATGAATGCATAAATAATTGGGACAACAAATTGATGGTTTCTTTCTTTAAAAATCAATCAAGATTAAAAAATAAGGCACAAATATTTCAGCATATGAATAGCAGACTAAAAAACCCCATATGTCAAGTGAAAGGTAAGAGGCTGGACGCCTGTTTCAAAATTCCAAGCAAAGTTCTTCTGCAGACAGGTGGGAGCTCTAGGTGTTTGGCAAACAAGTAACCAGACTATAACTGTCTTTTAGAAAGTCTAGCAAAAGTGTTTGCCCCGTCTATAAATGTGGATAGTAAGAATTGAAGAACACTGGATTAGGAGTTTACTGAAACCTACCAGTTGTATGACCTTAATAAATGTGATTAGAAACACAGGCACCATATACACTCAAGACCTACTCCATATGCTAGGGACTGCACTAGATGTTTCACATAGGTAAAGACTTTATTTTTTTGTCACTATTTTTTATTTTGAGAGTATGTTTGTTAAAGCTTGGGACAGTGAAGGACAAAGGGCGGGCTTGTGGCAGAAGAAGCATCAGGAGAGAGACTGGGTGGTGCTCTGCTTTGGCTCCCTAGAAATATTATAGGAAAGAAGCAAGTCATGCTGGGCTGCTGTTAGCTCACTGCAAAGTCAGAAAAAAGGGGGCCTTGGAGACAGATTCAGGGGGTAAATGCGGGATGAGAGGCTGCCTGTTTCAAGTCTCACGGGCACCCTTAGAGTTTAGGAGAGAAAAATAAAGATGCACATCTGAGAGGGAAGAAAGGCAAAGGTATGCTCCAAAGAGTCCGCTAAGTAAAAAATTTTCAAGTCCTAGGGACATCTCCCTTTCTCTCCCAACAAAAACCCCACCAGTCAGAAACTTGTTTTTCAAACCTTACAAAATATTCTTTAAGATGTACAAGTGCTTTTATCAACTAGGCTGTCCAGCCTAAACTCTTACCCCTACTGCCCACTGCCTTTGTTCTATCTTCCCCCTCACAGACACAGCACAATCTGGTGCCTCTGTCCGAGTTCCTATCTCTAAGCAAAGTTCTTTCCTGTTAAAAGGAAATCCTATCATCCTGATGTCAATCAAATAAGCATGGCTGCATTATTAAGCCTTCCACCGGGCTGTTGGTAGTTCATGTATCAGTACCATATTTCACAAAACTGAACTTGGCCCCATTATAGCACTAACCATTAGGTATTGATTAGTTGTTCACCTGTCAATCTCCCCCAGGCAGGGAAGGTTCTTATTTACATCCATCCACTCCCTCCCCGTCACATAGATTGATGGCCTGGTACATGCTAACTGCTCTATACCTGGTTGTCAACAGATTTCTTATTACCCTAAGGAAGACCTCACAATAAAAAAGTTAATATGGAATTAGAAAGTGTACTAGAAAAATATAAACCAAGAAACAGTTGTGAACTGAGCCAATGAATCAAGCTTGCCACGTTCAAAGTTAACACAGACAGGTGAAAGAAAAACGAATTGTACTTTCTCAAGGGAGGGAGAGTTCACAAGATAAGCAATGGATAGAACAACACGAAAAAGCAAGTCGTGCAGCTTCCAGGAAAAGGATCGGCAAAACCTTGCAAGCTTCTAAGAGTGAGATTCCAAGCACGAGTGGACTGGACTTAGCGACCGGGCAAGAAAGGGGAGACCGCCTGCTTGGATTCCAAGACTGAGGTGTGCGGTTCTGCCTGGCAAGCTGGGCGGGGAGGAGAGGAAATGACGAGCCAAAAGGGGGTGGTAACGGCGCCGGCCCGGGAACCCGGGCTGAGCCTGATGTAAGGAAGGGGCCGGCGGAGCAAGGGGGAGTGGGCACAGTGGCTCACTCCCAATTCCCCCTCCAGGGAGACTGCAGGGACGGCCCAGCAAAGCGCGGAAGCGGGGACGGGCCATTCCCCTCCTCACTGCACTAGGGGCCCTGTGGCCGAGGAGCGCATCTTTTCCAGGCCTCCCTGCAGACCCAGGAGGGCTGTGGACAGACCGACAGTGCTCACGGAGGGCTGGGGGACGCGGCCCCCCCCCCGCGGGGGAGGTTTCCCGTTCCGAGGGTCGGAGCATGGAGAATGCAAGGGTAGATTTTTGGGCTTAAACACGAGGCTGGAACGACCAGGAGGAAACTACCGAGGGGGGCGCGTGTGTGTACCTGAGTGTAGGGGTATTCGTGGCAGGCAGGCCAATCATTCCCGAGCCTGAAGCCTGAGAACCTTGGTCTAAGGGCCGGAGGAACCGGGACACATCCCCAATTGGCACTAGCACCCTGTAGGAATCTGGACCCCAAGGTGCCTGCCCCGGGGGACGCCATTCCCGCGCGGAGCAGCCCCCTACAGGCCTTGGTCGGGAGTGCCCCGCGGAGCTCGCAAGCTCTCAGGCCGGGCCGCCTGCCACCCCACTCGGCTAAGCTCAGCTCGACTCCCCGGGCTCGACGGGCATCTGGGCCTCTCCTGAGTGGTCAGCGAGACCCGCCAATCGGGGCGCTGGGGCCGGCTCTGGGCCGCTGGATATTGGCTCCTCACACTCACCGTGCCTCGCTCCCCCGGTTCGCTGCCCGCGCTGATTGGCTCCAGTACCGGACTCCGAAACCCAATCAGAGGCTCCAGCCGCCGCTGCCGCCGCCACTGCCGCTGCCTCGCAAAATGGCGAACCTGAACAAAGGGGAATCGGGCCTCCCTCCAACCGCCTCCGCGCAGGCGTCTCTGCGACCACGCCCCCTAATCCCCCCCACCCCCGCTCTGGGCTTGCCCCACTCCCGTTGGATGAGCACTGCGCAGGCGTCCGGTGAAGTCACGCCCACTGCCTTGATTAGCTAGCACTCCCGACGGAAGGAATACGCAGGCGCCTTCTTGACGCGTTGGACGCCTCGGTTCAAACACCTCCCAGATCATATTACTACGCAGGCGCTAACTAGCTTTTTTGCCAACTTCCCACCCACTTCTATGCGGCTACTGGAGGCACACCCCTGGGCTAATGCGCAGGCGCTGTCCCTCCTCGCTCGTGGTTGGCTATTTCGTTACGCAAGCTCGGGTGGCGGCGGGAGACTCCACGGTATTTACCGCCGGAAGTTTGGCGGCTGTCACCAAAGAGTGCAGGTTCCGCTAGCTAGCTAGAGAGGCTTGTTTCCTTGTCGCCTCGGGGTGGTGGGCGGCCATGTTAGGTGCGTGTTTTTAAGGGCTATGGCGGGATTGGCTCCGCGTCTGGTCTCGTCGGTTGCTCCCCACCTACCAGGGCGGGATTTGGAGCCCTTTCCCGCGGGGTGGGTTCTCTTAACGACCGACTTCAGGTGAAGGGTAACCCCGGTACAGTGGGCCTTTGAGCGAGCTTCCCCGCTCCTTCCCGCGGGACGGCGGGACAGGCTCTACACCCTCGCTGACCCGCCCTAGGGTAGGAGACAGAGTGGGAGGCTTCTCTAGATTCCTCCCTTACCCACCCCCTCCCTCCTAAAAAGAGGGCAGGGAGCTTTTCTTGTGGGTCCACCTTTTTTGTGCGCCGGGCGGCACACTCCCTACTTGCGGTTTCAAGTCCCTCCTTTTTTTCTTCTAGGCCAAACCCACCGAGTTTAAGAACTGTCCTAAACCCGCCGGGCACGGAGAAAGGAGGCGGTGTGTGTTAGGGCCGCCTTTAGTTTGCCAGTGGAGCTAGCGCTCCTGGAGAGCGCGAAATACGAGCGGGGCACGATTTTTGTGAACCTAAGGCTTTTTTTCTCTTCCTTGCCTCAGAAGAATTTTGTATTATTGCTTACAGGCTGGACGAACTCACATTTATTGATAAACGTTGGGAGGAAAAATAAAGTGGGTGGTCAGGGCGATCTGAATGTAGGCTGCCTAAGCATTTTTCCTTCCTTTTTCCTTCTCCTAGCTGAGGAAACATTTAAGTTTTGGAGGTAGCAACTCGATATCATGGCCGGCAGCCCTAGTGAAGATGCAGAAGGAAGCAGAGTGCGTAATAACTATTAATTTATGGTGAACTGAAATAAGAGTAATTGAGGTCAAACGCATAAACACTTTTTAATTAAACCAATAATTGAATTGTCTTTATTTTTTCTAGCTGTTTTATAATACAATCTAGGCAGACACCGGCCATCACTTTCTTTTTACACATGCTTTAATTTGTAATGGTTAACTCCTTAAATTCTGACGGTTTGGCTTTAAATCAAGAAGGTGGGGAGGGGTGGCAGACCGTAAAGAAAAACAAAGAAATAGTTTAGTATTTTTCTGTATCTAATAAAACTTTTCTTTCCTTTGCACATTTTAGATCACTTATGTGAAAGGAGACCTTTTTGCATGCCCCAAAACAGACTCTCTGGCCCACTGTATCAGTGAGGATTGTCGAATGGGCGCTGGGATAGCTGTACTCTTTAAGAAGAAATTTGGAGGGCTGCAGGAACTGTTAAATCAACGTGAGTTCTGGAAACAGCTTAACTTTTATGCCTCAGAGCATCTTTTGACGTCCTGTTATACTTTAATTATTAAACAAGGTATACATGTAAAGGAGGTGTTCTTAACCACTGAGTACTTTTAATTCATCAGATTTTTTTTTCTCCCCAAAATAGCCTCTAGTTTGGGTCCCTATCACACTAAACTTGACTTCTAAATGCTTCTCATTTCTTCCTCTACCATAAAGCCCAATTGATAATTCTCCACTTCTCTGAAAACCTTAATAACTCTGAAGTGCTTTGCAAATCCACAGGTATTAGCTTGGCATTCAAGATCCTTTGTTCATCCGTATTGTATTTAGTAGTTCAGAATCCTTCGTTACAGACCCTCTTCCATCACTTTCTACCAATGATTTTAAACGAGAGATGTGTATCAGAATCATGTGGAGCTTCTGAAACAGTTGCTGAGACCACAGCCCAGGCTGAATCAGGATCTCCACTGGTGATTTCGATTCCAGCCTTTAAAAAACAATTTCTATTTTGTATTGTAGTTAGTAGTTGTATGTAAACTTAACCCCTTCTCTTGATTGGAAACTCTTAAGATTAGGAACCTTTCTCTATACCTATGTCCCCCATAATTATGCTTAAACATTAACTCTGTATGTACAAAGGTCATTGTTGAATGAACACAACTGGCAAAGTTGTGAGGAAAATATGGTTGAGAAAATGATTAAGAAAGTGGGAAGCTAAGGAATACAGTATTTAGTAAGGCTGATAAAGAGCAAAGTGTTCATAGGAGACAATAGGTTTCTTGAAAGTTGAAAATGTTCTGAGGTAAACATCTGTAAAGATTTTTTAAAATCTAAGAATGGAGATCTGTTTTGATTTTCTTTTTTCTTTCTACTATTAAATAACTTTTTCTTAGAAAAGAAATCTGGAGAAGTGGCTGTTCTGGAGAGAGATGGGCGATATATATATTACTTGGTAAGATGGGGCCAATTCTCAATAAGTTTTAAGGATTGGTGATCAGATAGGCTACACTGAATTTGTGGTGATTATGATATTCCATTCTAGACAACCAAAGATGTTGAAAAGTTTCTGATCTCATACCAACTCAGGTCCAGTGTTGATGGCTCTTTGGACCTCTGGGTTAGAAAGGAAATTGCATCCTAGCTCCATGGGAAAGAGTGCTATGATGTCTACTAAAAGCCTTTGTTCTAAGACTTGCAAAAGTTAGGGAGGTCTTCCATACTTCAGTTTCTTCCTTAACATAGTGAGATAGAAAAACAATAATGTGTCAAGAGACAGATTGCCCAACGGAGTTTTTCCCATTCTTCCCTATCAAATGTACTCCATTGCTTTCGTGCCTCCTGCCTCAATGTGGGATTCTTCCACCATCCAAATGGTCTTCAGCCCTGGAAAGAATGTGGCTTATTGGTGATGGTGCTGGGTGGCTTACAGGTAACCCACTACAAAGATTTGGATAGCAGACTAAGTGGGGTCATTTGAATGCTGTCTTTAAGGCTGATGTGACTCCAGTATTATTTGTAATGCTACCAGTATATCTCTGTTCTTTTATAGAGAAACAGAAAGCAAGCAAGCATAATTTCTAAATAAATAGGCTTAACAGGAAATTTTCAGGTGGTTTGGGTTCTTCCTTATTACAGATATGCAGCAGCTTATCTCTTGAAAGAGGCATAAAGACTTTCACCTACTTTGCTTACAAACAATACACAATAGGTACAGTCTGTAAGCCTCCTGGTCTTGAGAAAAGGAAAGATTATGTACAAGGCAGTATCTGGGTTTCTCCAAACCTATTTAGTTGATTTTCCTGAGGGCCTCCCATAACTGGAAGGAACATTATGACATTTGTCATCACTGCTATAGACTATTCTGTAAAAATACACTTCTTGTTCTACTTAGGATGTTGGGACAGTGTGATGACTCTTGGGCTATCATTTTGGACTAAGAGAAGTTTGAATTTTTTTCTTTGTACTCAGATTACAAAGAAAAGGGCTTCACACAAGCCAACTTATGAAAACTTACAGAAGAGTTTAGAGGCCATGAAGTCCCATTGTCTGAAGAATGGAGTCACGGATCTCTCCATGCCCAGGCAAGGAAATACAGGGCCCTGAATGAAGATTTAATTGATTGGTGGGGCTATTTTCTTACCCAAAGACAAATGACTTAAAAGCGTAACCTAAAACATAGACTGAAAGGTAAACAAATTTCAGAACTTGAAAAAATCACCAGTGAGTCCTAGTTGGGTAGCTCATTTGGTTAGAGCAGTGTCTCAATACACAAAAGTTGCAGGTTCGATTCCTGGTCAGGGGCCATGAAGGAATCGCCAATGAATGCATAAATAAGTGGAACAAGAAAATTATGTTTCTCTCCCCCTCCCTCCCCTCTCCCCTCTTCCTCTCTCTCTAAAAATCAATAAATTAATTTTTTTTTTAAATCACCAATGAACCAGTTGTCAGACCTTAGGCCAAGGCATACCATGGGTCTTAGCCTGGGTTGAATGAATGAGGATAACTAACTTAAAATACACACCTGCCTCAACCTACGCAGTAGAGGGGAACTGTTGTCCAATCACATTTGTTAAATTTCTAGTATCCTCTGCTTGAAGCTTAGCCTTTTTTTTTTCTGAAGCAATGTAAGTTTAAGAACCAAGACCAAGCAATTGTGATTTCCCTCTGGGCCACTTCAGGTGTCCCAAACCTGTTAATTTTGTGCAAAGAAAGTTCTAAATGATCACTATCTTTTAAACTTCATGCTTGTTGGTGGTCACCTTGGGCAGTAGCTAGAGGATATGTTGCTGATGTAATGTCTTAGACTCTGTTGGGAACTTAAAGAATGATGGGGTTTCAGTATCCCCTTTGCTGTGTCTTAGGAAATAGGCTTGGGCTTACCTTTCCCTGTCAGCCTAGTTTTGAGTCAGTGCTGACCATACATACAGATTTATTCCAAGCTCCAAGTTACTTATGTGGCTACAGGGTTCCTCATCTTAAATTGGTCCTTTATGTACTTACAGATTATCTATCAGAAATTTTTTTTGATTACAGTTTTTTTCAGGGACTTACCACATTATATGCAGTTAGCAATTTTAAGCCTCTCTTTTTCCCCTAGGGATGTTGAGGATCAGTCAAGTAATATCTTAGAAGAAAGGTGCTAGGTGGTAGAGTTTTGTGGGTCGAGTAAGGTTTTTTACCAGGGTATTTCAAAGACCTGAATTGCAATAATCTTGGCATTTCTCAACATTCCATCTTGACTTCTTTTTTTTTTGCAGAGTTTCTGCTCCTTGACTGTCTTCTTATCTTCCATAAATTTCCATTATAAGTGTGTTTTTTAAATGCCAGCCTTTTCCCGCCTATCCACAGCTAGTTTTTGTAAGTAGACATAGAAGGATAGTGAGTCTCCCATGTCACAGCAGTTATACATTTATAAATGTTGCCTGAAATAATTGGGAAGTGGTAACCAGCAGGCAAAAAAGAAGTGACAGCTTTGGAATGTTAGGGCTGTTTAGAAATAGCCTTGGGTGACTCAACAGGAATTAACTTCAAATTCCCATGTGCTCTTATGCTTTGGTGAGTACAGTCTAGAGGAGGAGGGAAAGAGTGATTTCTTAGATACCTTCATCACAACCAATGGAGATGTTTTGTCTTTTTCAGGATTGGGTGTGGTCTTGATCGTCTGAAATGGGAAAACGTATCTGCAATAATTGAAGAAGTGTTTGACGCAACAGACATCAGAATCACTGTGTATACACTCTGAACAGATGAGTGTTTTGGATGTGTCCGTGTTTTCCTGTATCATCCCTACTGGGCTATGTGACTGGGCAAACTGACCTAAAAAAATTGTCAGAGGAAAGTTTCATGTGAAGTTGCCTGTGTTACAGGCAATGGTTAGGTTTCTGTATTCCCATGATTGGACTGAGACTCTGGAGGAGAGATTGCTTGGGAAATGTTACTGTGATTTTCCTCTTTTCTTTTTTTTTCTTTTTAGGAAGGTAGGTAATAAATAGCCTAATAATAGTTGGGGAACCAGATGTTGGGCTAGAGGACCTCTGTTTTGTTCCAGGATGCTACCTGATTTGTTTGGCTTGTCACTAGGTGGCAGCATTGCTTCTACTCTGCTGTTTTCAGAGAAATTTCAGGAAGGATGCACATTTCAGTTAATTTTGCATCTTTTGGCATTCGTGCATTTACTTAGTATTATCCTTATGTCATCAAATTTATCCTAGGAGAGAATTTTGAGGGTTTTTTGTTTGTTTAAATTACAAAAGTGGACTGTTGCAACATTGTTAATAAGGAATTCATAGAGACCAAAAAATTGGAAAATAAATATTTTTTTCTTGGGCTACAGTGAGGTTCTGTACACATGTCTGTCTTGTTCTGGACTTGGATAATGGAGAATTCACCCATAACTTAATTTGGAAAAGTCAGAGGGAGGGTCCAATGGGAAGAGTGGCCAGGTGAGAAGAATGGACAGCAATGATGGGTCAACATACTGAAAAGGCAGGTTTTTAGAATCTCCTCATGGTAAACTCTTATGTCCATTACACAGTGTCTGTGATTGAACGTGTCTGAATTTAATTATGAAACAAGTAATACATGTTAATGCCTGGCAGAGTACTTAGTGCAGAGATGACTCAGTTCTCAACAAAATCCATATGAATCTTCTGAAAAAAGACCCACGTTCCCCCAGATTTTACTTTGGTACTTGGGGGGTTAGGGAAAATGGGTAGGTTTCTTTGTGTTTTTAAGCTGGGGGGGTATGCTTATGTGTAACCAGCTAAGAGAGCAACACTTTGCTTGTGTTTTTGCAGTGAGAGAAACAGGTTCATGGATTTATCCAGTGGTTCAGTAGCAGAGGTATTGGAAAAGGTAGTGGTATTTTTCTCCCTCACCCTAACCCTCTTACTGTGGTGTTATGAGTTAAAACAGCCAGACATAATACTGATTTTTCTCCCTTGAGTGAATTCTGGGCCTTCATGGGACTTGCTTTTCCAAGTGTGAAAGAACTAGATTTTAGAATGGTCTTGTTGAAACACTAGGAGAGCAGTGGTTAAATATAACCTTTGTACTTCAGACTTATGTTCTTATCTCACATTGCATCCTGATATGAGGCAGCAGTTTCAAAAATACATTTCATGTATTTTGTGCCTCTGTGTGGAACAGACAAGGTTCTTCATGTTACTGGGGTGGGGTAGTGCAAGAGCAAGTTCATTTTCAAACTTTCAGATTAAAGCTTTTCTTGGAGTTTTGCTCTGTGCATTATTAATAAAATTGAAGGGGAAAAGAATGAATACACGAAACTGAAAATGAGAGTGAATGATGAGAGGAAACTTAGAATTAAAGTATTTTACTAATTATGTAAAACGTTGGTATGGAAGGCTCCTATACTGAAAGGAATTAGGGTGAATTTTTATATGGAGTATGAACCTTGATGACTCTAATAACAGAGCTTAGTCTTGTGGAGGACTGGCTGTAAGGAATTCTGGGAGTCAGCGGGGATGTGATAACATGCTTTGTCGTTTGCAGATAGTCTTGGGGTCAAATTCCGATGACTTATCACACTCAAAGCCTGGGGGAAGGCATTGCCTTGATAATCAGAATGAACACGTTATTCCTGGAAACCAAGTTAGAGTTTGACAAACACCCAGAAATTCACATGTGAAATTTTACTTCTATAGAACTGAAACCTCTTAAGAAATGAGACTTCTACATCAGCCTGCCATCACTATCAAGTATCACATGTTGTCTACCCTTAAATTGTGTATCTGAACATTGAAATGCTCCTACTTCTCACCTCTGATTAATCAAGAGGCTAATTGTTTATTAATTGGATGTTGGGACATGGATATTTTATATACAGATTTTTCACACCTTTTGTCTTACCCTCTATCATATACTTTGTCTTTAGAGAAGGCAAAAGGCACTCGAGGAATCTCAGAAGAAAACGTTTTGCGGAGGTCAAGACCAGGATGAGAAGTCTACATGAGAGAGCATCCTGGGTTGCCTAAACAAGTCCCGGTTTAAATCTCCCTCCATTTTATGTGTGGTTTGGTTCCTGGCTTGGGAAACCCTATTCTTGGGACTTGATCACTGTCCAGAGTTCTAAATGTCCAAGTTCCTTAAAAAACCTGGTCGCAGAAAAAGCACACCATTTCTTTTATTGTTGCTGCTTATTTTTCTTTAGAAAAAACACAAATGCATTTCCGGACATATTTCAAAGATCTGCACAGATCTTGGGTCTGAGGCTCTGCCTTAAGCAGCCCATTTTGGGGAATGGTTAGAACCCTCAGCCCCATGATGCCTGGTGCTCATCTTTGGTTGCTATTTCTCGCAGTTCACTTTTTTTTCCTGAGAGCAGCCTTAGAGAAAGATGCACAGCTAAGGTGATTTACAGCATGAGAAGTGTATTTTGAATCCTCATAGGGTCTTGGGCAGCAGGATTGGTTGGTGTCGAATGGTGTCCAGCTCCAAGTGGTATTAGGAGGTCAGGCATGTCCCAGATGGCCATACCTGTCACTGCTGTCTCCTAGCAGCAGGCAAACCTTGATGAGAAAACAGAAAACATATTACTGAGAGCCCTGCTGGCCCCAAACAGTGAATAGTTCTCTTGTTGAATTAGGGTTTCTGTGTGCCTTCTCCAACAAGTTCCTGAATTTCTCCATAGTCTGTGACTACTGGTTTACTCAGAGTTGGATTTGTTCCATTTGTTTTGGTATGGTTCGCCCAGAGAAATCCCCAGAACAGATCTGCTTGACTGTTGGAGTTGAATACATGGTTAAATGCTCGTCTGTTGTGTTTTTAAAGAGATGGAATAAGAAATAGGAAATCTTTCTCTAATGAATGCCCATTTCTTGGGAGTATTTTAATTAAACAGAGTTGTTCTTTTGGGCTTTTAGATAACAGCTCTTTTTCATGCCAGTTTTTTTTTTAACTTGGTACATTTTAACCTTTTCCTTCAGTAACATAAGCAACTCAAATAGAGTACAGGAAGTATGTTAACAATGGGTCCAGAAAATACAGTTATGCACACTAATGGAAAGAGGTTTATAATGTGGAACATATCCAATGATATTTCATTAAGAATGATTTGACTTAGAAATGGACTTTTCTATCAAACCAATTTATCTATTTTATTTCTGTTTAGATTAGCATAAGGTACAACCCTCAATTATCCAAAATTGAAAGCTCTTTTAATTTTCCTTGAAATGTTTATTTTTATAGCAGATTTAGCTATCTAATTTGATTTAATGGGGGAAAAAAACAAAAACAGCACAAATCCCCAAGGACTTGCTAGTTAGGTGGCTAGGAGAAGTGGCCCATGACTCTGAAAGATGTTTAAGAAGCAAGTACACTAGGGTTACAATTAAGCTACCAGTCATCACTCTGTAGAATCTATGTAGGGTTTATAATTACAGTGATAGTACTGACATAATAAAATCTCCAAGGAATTTAAAAGCTAATTTTGAGTCTTCAGAGGTCACCTTGAGAAATCTGTTTTTATTACCACTCAGAGTGGCATTTTATTTTATAGGAGCAGAGTACCATGGGACATTACCTGACCATAGTCTCACTGAGGTCAATGAATGGGTCCTGCTATTTGTAAGAAATAGCTGAGAATCCTGCCTTCACGGACTGGCACATGCTCAGCTAGAGAATTATCGGGCTCCCTGAGTGCATGTCTAATAGCAAACACCTCTGCCAACATCAAGCTCCAGAACATTGATATTTTCAAAACATGTTTATGAAGTGACATCTCTCAAGAATAATAGCGAGAGACACCAAACATAAACTGAATCTTCACAGAAGCATGATACTTTTGTGTTTTAGTAATATGTGAGTTATTCCAGTATTAAGGTGGTTTAAGAAGGTGGTGAAGACCCTTTCTCTGTTACTGGAGGACATTGAACAGCAACTCAGGCCTTGTAAAGGGACTTTGTCATAGCATTGTTGGGGGAGCAAAGTAGATTAGACCAAACTCAAAAGAAGGTAGTAAAGGATTCCTTACCCTCTTTCCTGAGGGTGATTGCCCTGTTTCCGTAAGAATCTAATTTACCCTCAGCAAGAGGCCAAATTGGCCTTAATTGTGCCCTAATTATTTAAATAGCTATTTTTTTACTTCCAGTTCTATCCCATCTTGATATCTGCAGGAGGCTACTTCTGAACTGCTGCCTAATTTACAAACATCTTTTTAACCCTTTAAACATTCCTGCATAGAAGAACTTGTTGCTGTATTATCCCCATTCCTGCACTCAGCATTGTTCTGAGTTCTGAGGTCTCAACATAAGAAAAATGTTCTTACATTATACATTCATGCAGCAATTATTGGTCTCCCTCAAAGAGGAATCATTTGTTTGAAAACATGAAAGCTTCTCTGGCCAAAAAAAGTTGTGGAATCTCAAAGGTATCAAAAGTGAAAAAAAAAAGTGCCCACCCCCAGGAATGAAACACCCGATTTAGAGGAAAAATGGAATGGTAGGGTTGCAAATAGGGATGGGAGCAAGGCATCACCAACGTATCCAGAGTTAGTGATTCTGGAAACACGTACATGGGGGCATGGTTAGGGGTTGGAATATATTTGAAGCTGTTGTTCAATAGCAGGCTCTCCCACCATCTAAATATTTCACTACAGAAAGTCCCATCAAATCAAGGCTTTCAGATTCCTGTTAACCGTAAGTTGCATGTTATGGGGAAAGTATCTGATATGAAAGTATAGGAGGGAAAGGATTTAGGGAGAGGAATTTCAAGGAAATAAAAGGAGATAGGATCTTCTAAAATATTTTTACAGTCATCCCAAAGCAGAAAAATGAAATCGTTCCTTGTGAAAATCCGACACCACCGGTTCCACCTAACTTCAAACGACCCAATTAATGGAGTAATGGTACCATGACTCACGTGAGGCTGTGCCCAATTGCCTACTTCAGGATGTCAGCCAACTTTTCCTCGTAGTACAGGAAGTTCTCCTGAATGTCCTCCCAGGGCTCAAAGGCCTTGGATTCGCCCTCTTCCTGCTCTACAAAATTCTGCCAGATGTACTCGAAGTCCTGGGGCTTCATGATGCGCAGTTTGCAGCCAGCCTCCTTCAGCTTCTTCAGAGCAGCCTGGATCTCGGGCTCCTCCCACATGAAGAGGCGCCCCACCAGAATGAGCAGGCGCAGGTTCTTGGTCTTGTTAAGGGTTTTGATGATGCGGTCAGCACAAGCTGCACAGGGGCTGGAGGACACGTACCAGGTGACGTTGTACCGCAGGGCTGGGTCTAGGGTTGGCATGACGGTGTTGAAGAAGGCTTCTTCTGCATGGGCAGTTGCATGCTCGTCCTCTAGGTATCCCCGGGATGCCTGCACTTGGCCTCCCTTGTCCTGCACTTCAATCACATAGCAGAGGAAGGTCTTGTTCCTGCCAGAACTGTACTCCACATTCCGAAACTGGAACTTGAAGTAGTTGACAGGCAGCCGCTCCCTGTGTCAAGAGACAAAGGGACAATGATGAGTTGTTTCTAGGGCCAGCCTGGAGTGTGTAGCTATCCATGATCTCAACATCAGTGACAAAAGGGCATAAAAGATCCCAAAGGGTTTGTAGGAAAGAGAATTTGGAGTGAGGCGTGCATTCTAGTTACCCCACTAGGAGGGGTCTCTAAGCACTCCACCATCCCAATGCAAAACACATACCTACGTTTCTAAATCAATGACTAACCTGGCTCTACATTAGAATCACCTAGAAGACCCTACAAACAATGCCTGGGCCCCACACGAAACCAATTAAATCAGAACATCTAGTGGGGGCCCAGGCATCAGCATTGCTCTCCAGATGATTCTAATCTGTGCCCAGGTTTGAAAAGCCAGGTTTAAACAGTAACTTTACAAAGTAGCAAGCATGTAAAATTTCTCATGACAGACCAAGACAAAGATTTCATAGAACATTTCATGCTTTCATTCCTTCTTCTTGTCACTCATTTATGTTATATCTTTGGCATGGAATAGCCTACAGTTTGCAGTGCCATGCCCTCCTGGTGACTTTCTCAAGCCTATTGTTTCCCTCATGTGAAGGAAGGGTGGTCACATAAATGTCCAAGAATTTTTTTTATCTTTGAGGCCACACTATCTAAAGGTATCTTGATGTGATGGAGCTTGCATATAGTATTGAATCATTTCAAAGTCATGAAAGATTTGGCCTCTGCCCTCCAGATGCTTATAATCTAGCTGGATTCTAGCTGGACAGAGATGATATAAATAAGATGGCTGAAAACAATAGAAAACTTTTAAAAATGAGTAGGTAGAGTGAAGGATATATGAAGGCTCTTGAAAGTTTAGCCTTGATTCAGGAGGCAATAGAGAATCGCTACAGGTTCTTGAGTAAAAAAATCATGTAATAAATAAAAGTCATGTCCATGGAAGAGGACTGTGGTGCTTTGAGTAAGTAGTGATGCTGGGGAAAGCCTGAAATGAAGACAGCCCACTTGGTGTCTGAGGACACCAGACTTGGTGATGAATATGTCCAGTGCCTTCAAGGAGAAGATGCATGATGAGAAAATGAAAGCGGAAGAAAAAGGTCAGGTTTTTTTTTTTTTTTGAAAAGTTTAGTAGTAAGAAGAAGGGGAGAGAAAAGCAGAGGGACTAGAGAGAGCATCAGAGGTAAAGATTGTTTTCATTTTTATGTATATGCATATGTTTTTCTAAAGTAGGAGGATATGTGCAGGTTTGAAGGTCAAGGAGAATAGGGAGGCTTCGATAGGAGAGACTGACAATGCTGGAAGGAGCCCTGGCTAGGTGGCTCAGTTGGTCGGAGCATTGTCCTGTACACCAAAAGGGTGCAGGTTGATTCCCCGTCAGGACACATACCTAGGTTGTGGATTCAATTCCTGCTGGGAGCACATAAGGCAGGTAACCGATTGATGTTCCTCTCTCATGTTGATGTTTTTCTTTCTCTCTTTCCCTTTCTTTCTTTCTAAAATGAATTAACAATTCCACCATATCCTCTGGTAAGGGTTAAAAAAGAAAGAAAGAAAATGCTAGAAGGGGAGCAGGGGATGAGTACCAGCTAGACAGGCTGAATGTTCTCTTTTTAAAAAATGTATTTCTGGGGAGCATTTGAGATCTTGCTCTTCAGCATATCTGTTTAGCTCAAATAAGGTCTTATAAAAATAAAAATAAAAATGTAATCTTTGTGGCTGCCCCAGAAGATACCCTGTGGCAACCATTAACTTTGCTGTTTCTTCTCTCCCTGCTTTCTGTTTCCCCAAAAAGGTCAAAGAGGTCACCTAACTCCCAGGGTTGCGGGGGAGTCCCTGGTATCCCAGGGCCTTGGCTTCTTAGTAGTAAGCAGCAGGTGCCAAAGAGCTGAGTAAACTTGAGCTATTTCCCTGCAGTGTTCCCTTCCCCCATCACCAATTCTTCTCTATCCAAATTCCCATGTCCCTTGCTGACAAGTTTCCACTGCAGAGATGGATGTGTTTGAGGATCCAGCCCCAGGGATTCCATCAGGTACTATACTTAGCTCTCTAAGCCCCCTCTGTCTCTGGTTGGATGTATTTATTATTTACTTAACATTTTGGGAGAATGGATTCCTGATGATTCCCCTCTCCTCTTTCAATTTCTGCTGAAATTAGCTCTGTCTAATTAATCTCACCTCCCCACAGTCTCCCCACCCCAGACCACTCCTGAACTTTCCTGGTTGCTAAATGATCCCATATTTCCCTGGAGGTTTTTTTTCTTCCCAGGAAGCACAGAGCTTATCTTTCTTGCCCAAACCCTTTTTTGCTTTCAAGACCGGCCAGACCACCCTACCTCACCCCAAGTCTAACCCAGAGTCACTTGTTTGATGGATTCTCAAAAGTCTTCACTAATGTGGTCGATAAGTTCTATGGCTTTAAACAAAACAATGTATAAGGAAACCAATTTTACCATAGGCTAATTGATATAAACAAAACTTAAATTCCTATGGAATCCTTTCAGCATTACAATGAAATGTCATTTAAAGAAACATGGTTATTGGAGGACCTGCTATATTCATGATTGCATGATTGGCTTGGAGGCTTCAGCAATGACTATCTGTGGTCCCTCCGGTTTCCTTCTGGAACCCCCAAAACTATTGCTCTGACTTGGCCAAGTACAGTCCCATAGAGTATGAATTTGGCCCAGTGTGCAATTGTAAGTTGGCTGGGTGGTCTGAGACTGCTGCTGTTCTCTGCCCCTCTTAAGCTATGATGTTTTCCTCCTCCTCTCCCCTGGGAAGACCCAGAGAAATGTAAAACCCAAGGGAGAGGAAGAAATTTTACCTCTATAAATGCTGTTTTCCAACCCCTCTTGCCTGTAGCCACATGGTCTACCCTGTCCCCCAGCAGAGACAGCAGAGTAAGACAAAAGAGATGCCTCAGGAAGGGCAGTGCTTTCAAAGGCGCAAAGGAAAGTCAGGGATGGTCTTGGCTCTCATCTTTCCTTTGGGCTTCCTCAGGGACTGAGTTTGCTTGGCTTCTGCTTTCTGGTCTTCTGGAAGGAGCAGAAAGATTGAATGAAGTTCTTTGGGAATTCCTACAGGCTGAAACAGCTAGGCCCTTCAGGGGAAGCAGGGGAACAGTGCTGGCAGAGGCCTGAAAATTCCCCCGGGAGCTAAGCCAACATGGTCGCCTCTGGTGATATTACAGAATCACAAAATAAGTCAAGGCTATTATGCCCACTAGTAGAAGGAAGGAAATAGTGACACTTCTTAGATAATCACATTTTTTTTCTAGTAACATGACATGATATGCGTGAGGGCCATATTCACTTATACTCTCAACCTCAGCAGATATTTTACGGCCAAAGTGGGAGGTGTGTGTGTGGACATTGGAGTGGTGGACAGGACAGAGATGAGGATGACAGATTTTTCTGCCTGGGCTCAGTCACTTCTTCAGACACCAAAACCAACTTCATTATTCCTACTCCTAGCCTCAGACAACACCACTTTAAGCACCACTTCCTCATACTTTATGCAAACAAGGCCACTCACACTTCATCGGCTTAGACCCAGGTTACTGGACACTGCGATTCTGTAGGCAGGAAACTGAGACTCCAAATATCTAGAAAAAATTGGGATGATGGTCTGCTTGGTGGAGGGGAAGGGATGTGAATAAAATTGTATGTGTATGTACACACACACACACACACACACATACAGACACAGATTTCATACATCCTGAATTTCTCTCCTCATGAAGTTCTCCTTGAAATGAATTCCCTATCCCAACACCTGGCAGAGAGCCCAACACGTAATAGGTGCTCATCATTAGTTCATTCCTTTATTCAAAAATATTAATTGAGTACCTCCTAGGAGCCGGGTACTATTCTTGGTAATAGGGATAAAGGAGTTAAAAGGCAAAATCCCTATCCTTGTGGAAGTTAAATACTAGTAAAGGAAATGGGCAGTAAAGAAATGATTCCTATTCAGTAAATATTGGTCGACTATAAAATACTCCTCCTTATGTTGTTTTAGACACAGTGTAATGATATGGAGTCAGGCAGTCCTGGGGGTTCATGCTCTGCTCCATTCACTAGCTTTGCACAAATTATTCATCCTTCCAAGATTTGGTTTCCTCATCTGAAATATAGGTTGAGTAATCCAGCTCCTCAGATTTTGAACAACTGTTGACACTCAAGAAGTTAAACCTAGTATTGATGGATGGTGTCCTTTGGGGCCCCAAATCTTATCCCTCAGAGCACTCTCTTAGGTACTACTAAAACTCATCCCTTCTCTACTCTTCCTCATTTTCAGAGGGTCCTCTCAGTGGTGTGCTAATTTAGCACCCAGCAAGTTGAAAGAAAGAGAACCCACCCCCCATTTCTAACTTTGCTGACTTCTGTAAACACTCTCATCATGGAGACTTCAAGAACAAGAGCCGGAAAGAGAGATGGACAGTGGACTCTTCACCAACGTGAGCTGGCTTGGGCACACCAACTGCAGCTTGAGACCCTTCTTTAACACTGTCCACCATGTTGTTTGTTAACGTTCTTAGGTCTGCCTCTATCCTGAGTGCCTATCCAAATGTGAATCATGACAAGCAGGATATGTGCCTCTCTGTATTCCTACTTGGTACTATCTCCTCCCTTCAGAATGCTGAAAAGCCACCTGCTTTTCTGCTAGTTTGTGGCCCAAGTGTAAGGAGCAGTATGGACAGACCCGTCCCTGTGAAGTCCAGCCAGGAGACTTGCTTGGGACTGACTCCTTTGACTCCAGGGCATCTGGAGAGGGAAGGAGAGGAAAGCCGTCTCTTCATCCTGTCCCTGCACAGACACAGCCACACCTCTGAGCTATTTTAAGCCATCTGTTTACCCCAAGGGGCCCAGGAGGCAGATCTACACAGCTTTTACTTGTGCCCAGAAAACACTCAGGGCCCCACCTCTCTCCTGATCTGCTCTCAGAGTGCCCAGCAAGCTGCCCCCCGTGCCTCTTTTCTGAGCCTTGGGTCAGGGAAAGCCTCTGAACCACACTACCCTGCAGACAGAGACAGATGGAGCTCTGTCTGGTAAACCTGGGAACCAGAATGAAGAAGAGAGCAGTGGAAAGGGTACTTGGCTGGAATCAGAAGACCTGCCATTTACTGGTTCTGAGGTCTTGAACAAGTCACTCAATCTCCCCGACTCTCAGTTTCCCCATCCGAGAGTGGCAATACTATGTATCCCTCTCCCAGCAGTGTGCTGAGGGTTGAGTGAGCTCAGGCATGTGAAAGTATGCCATGATTACAAAGACCTGGACAGATGTAACCCTTTAGTATCCACCACAGTGGGACTCCAAGGCCTATTTGACTCAACAATCTAATTCTGTTATGGACCTACACTGCCCCTGTGCTGAGGAGATCACAACACCACACAGAGTGTGTATGTGTGTGTGTGTGTGTGTCTGTGACCCGGACAGCATGGATGGACCAGTGTGCTCAGGTATTAGAAACAGAATTTCCTTCCACAGAGAGCTCCTGGAATGAAGGACTCTCGGGCCTGGTGGCTCCAGGCTCTCCCTATGTTTCTATTAATCTGTGCCCGTAGCTTTTTGATCCTAAGTTGAGGGCGACATTAGTTGGTTGGACATGGGAGAACACAAGTTCAGAGACTTTATCCTGAACTCTTGCTTTCAGAAATCGGGAGCATTTTCCCTCAGGTTCTCTTAGATATTGGAAAATATCTGAGCTGGAAGGGATCTTAGGAATTGACTAGTGTAAACTGGTCATGTTACAAATGAGAAAAAGGAGGCCAGGACCGGAAAGCCACTTGCCAAGCTTAAGGCAGCAGGTCCAAATTGCCCCCCAGGGCTCCTCCTGCCTCTTGAAGGCAACACACCTCCATTCTTTCTGAAATTTTCAGTGCGGCCCTTACTCTGCCTGTGGGCACTGCTGGGCTCCTGGGAAGAAAACCTTGGGGCTCAGGAGGAAATGTGGCCTCACATATCCCCTTTTTGTTCTTTTTGCTTAGGATCTTAGCAGAGTCTTCTCTGGAAGGGGCACAGAGGGAATAGGAGAAAGACCACTTGGTGTTATTCCTGGAGACGGCACGATGTGGACAAGACGGAGAGACCCTGTATGCAGCCCTCTCCTTGTGGCCTCGAGACCCTTTGCTCTGGGTTCTGGTTCCCACAGGCTGTGGCTGCAGAGGTCAGAACACCTCCTCTGTCCAGAAGCTCCTGGCCCTGGCCTGTTACCTGTGCTGTGACCTCCCTGTTTCCCTGGGGGTGGATGTGGACAGTCCCTGGGGACACTCAGAAAAGATCGAACAAGAACAAAGCTGCTCCTCACTCAGGCTTAGAAAAGAATGAGTCTATCTTCCCTGCTTTAGGATCTTCTCCTGAGAGGCTCTGAAAGAAACGGCAAGAGACATGCAGATAGAGGAGAGTCCCACTCAGGAGCAGAGAGACAAGTGGAGAGAGGAGGTCCTTTGGGGCCATATTTAAATGTGCCAGTGTCATCCTATGTCCTTACCAGGTTCCCTGGGACCAAAAATCTCTACCCACAGAGGCAGGTGATGTCCCAAGACCAAGAGGCCTCAGGGGAGGTTTCATTGCCTCCAAGGAGCTACTCCTACCTCCCCTGATGAGAGGGTCTGTGGTGTCACCCCAAGAAGCCAAGCAAGATTTGCTGTGTCCCTGTGCATTCTTACAGTTTGACCCTGACTCCTGCTATTACCATCCTAAATTCCCCCAGCCTGTCCCCAGCCTGTCCCCAGCCTGTGCTCTTCTAGGAGGATGACCCCAGGCCACACTGGCTCTCACCCTGTGACGATCTCAAAGGGTGGCAGTTCAATCAGCTCCTTCAGCTTCTCTGGGTCATCCAGGTTCTCCAGATCCTCGCCATTCTGGGAGGCAGGCGCAGAAGCCTCAGCGTCCTCTGTTTTCTGGGCCATGGAGGGGCTGTGGCTGGGGAGTCACTGAAAGAGAGAAGAGGCAGCAGTCTGGGCCAGGGCTTGGCAGCAAAGTCCCAAGCAGCTGTCAGCAGCTAAATCTGCTGGGGGATGGCAGGAAGAGGACTGGGCAGGCCAGGCTGAATGTGCTTACCCTTCACCACAGGCTTTATAAGCAAAGGCCTCCTGCCCCTCCCCCAGGCCCTCTCCCTCCCTCTTTTTATAATTGAGTGACGGCAGGCGCCAGGATAGGGGAATGGAAAATCTGGCCATGAGTATCCCCTATTTATCAGTAGGCAAAGACAGGAAGCTGGCAGGTGGGGATGGCTTGACCTGCTCTCCCTCCCCACACATATTTATATTCTCTCACTCTTCTTCCCTCACCTTATATCCTTCCCTTTGTTTCCCACCCAATTTCCCCAGCTCCTTGTTGGGGGCGGGTGTTATGGAAGGGGCCTCAGGGCAGGACCCTGAGATTTAGGAGGGAAGCGTTCTCAGAGGTTTAAGCAGGATGAGGCTGGTGCTGAGGTGGTTGCAGACACCCAGGCCAGTGTGCTTGAGGAAAGCTGGGCTCAGTGCGGGGGGGGGGGTAAGGACTGTCAATGTGGAAAGAAAATGTGAACCAATATCCAAAAGGATTAGATGCAAATTTGCCTGTTATGGATGCACAATGCGAATACAAATTTGGGAGCCTCCAGTAGTAATGCTGCCTGCCATTTACTACATTTAGAGTTTTTGAAATAGGCCAGACCATGGGTTTAGTGGTTTACATGTGAAATTGGACTTAATGCTCTCAGGGGCCCTGAGAGGCAATGCATATTATCCCCATGTTATACACGAGGAAACTAAGACGCACAAAAGATTAAGGGCCTTGCTTGAGTCATAGGCTCATAAGTGGCAGAGCCAGGATTAAAACACAGGCTTTATTTTTATTATTATTAAATTTATTGGGGTGACATTGGCTAATACGATGATTTAAATTTCAAGTATATAATTTTATAATACATCATGTGTACAGGGTGGGGCAAAAGTGGGTCGTCACTTGTTCATGTGGAAATAATGCAATGATTAAAATAATAATACAAGAATAAAAATCTGTTCCACATACTCACAACTGGAAACCTACTTTCACCCCACCCTGTATATTGCCTTGTGTGCTCCCCGCCCAAAGCCTCGTCTCTTGCCGCCATGTATTTATCTACCCTCTTTAACCTCCCTCTCCCCTGCCCTCTGGTAACCACTGTACTGTTGTCTGTGCCTATGAGGGTGTTTGTTGTTGTTGTTTTTGCTTGTTTGTTTTCTTTTGTTGCTTTCTGTTTTATATCCCACATATGAGTGAAATCACATGGTTCTGATCCTCTTCCATCTGACTTACATCACTTAGCATGACAGCCTTAAGATCCATCTGTGTTGTCAAAAATGACAGTACTTCATCCTTTCTCGTGGCTGAGTAGTGCTCCACGGCATACATGCTCCACATCTTCTTCGTCTGATCATCCACTGGAGGACACTTACGTTGTTTCCATGTCTTGGCCACTGTGAGTAATGCTGCAGTGAACATAGGGGCCCATATATCCTTACAAAAAAATGTTTTCAAATTTTTTGGGTAGATACCCAGAAGAGGATTGCTGCTCATATGGTAGCTCTAGTCTTATTTTTTGAGGCATCTCCATACTGCTTTCACTAGTGGCTGTATCAGTTTACATTCCCACTAGTAGTGTATGAGGATTCCCTTTTCTCTACATCTTCTGCAACACTTACTGCTTTTCTTATTGATAACAGCCATTCTAAAAGGTGTCAGGTGGTATTTCATTGTGGCTTTGATTTGCATTTTCCTGGTAGCTAGTGCAGTTGAGCGTCTTTTCATATATTCGTATGTCTTCTTGGGAAAAGTGTCTGATCATGTCCTCTGCCCATTTTTTAATTGGATTGGTTGGGTTCGTTTTTGTTTTTGAGTTGTATGAGTTATTTCTATAATTTGGATGTTAGCTCTTTATCAGAGGCATTATTTGCAAATATCTTTTCCCATTTAGTTGGTTGCTTTTTTGCTTGTTGAAAGTTTCTTTTGCTGTGCAGAAGCTTTTTAGTTTGATGCAGTCTTATTCATTTATTTTTGCTTTTACTTCCCTTGCCTTTGGGGTCAAATTCATAAAACCCTCTCTGAGACCAAGGTTGATAAGTTTAGTACCTATAGTTTCTCCTATGTATTTTACTAAAACCCAGGCTTTTTATTCCAGAGGCCAAACATTCAACTACAATGCTGTTTCCTCTTAGTCAGTTTTTAAATTCATTTGACAAATATTTATTGAGCATCTACTGTGTGCCAGGTGCTGTTTCAGATACCAGGGACATAGCAAAGAACAAAAACAAATGAAAGTCTGATCTTACAGAGACTGAAGGGGTTGGACAATAAATAGGATAAGATCATATCACCAAATATGATCTATTTGGTGGAGCTAAGTGCTAAGGAAAAAGATAGGGAAGGGGGACAGAGTGATGAGGGAGGGGTGTTCAATTTTTGTAGGAGAGTCAGGGAAGGACTTTGAATAGGAGACAATTGAGAAAAGATCTGAAGGAGGTGAAGGAAAAAATAATATGGCTATCTAAGGGGAAAGGGTTTCAAGTAGGAGAACAGCAGATGCAAAGGCCCTGATGTGGGAGCAAGCAAGGACACCTATGTGTCTGCAGAGTCCTAAGAGATGAGGCTAATCTCTTAGGAGATTAGCCCTAAATAAGGGCTAAATAGGCTGGGGCCTTATGGGCTCTTTTTCTCTGAGTGAGATGGGAAGCCACTGTCTTTGAACAGATGAGACACACAATCTGACTGAAGTTTTTACAGAATCATCGCTCAGGCTGCTTGGTTGAGAATAGACCAAAGGTGAGAAAGAGCAGAAGCAGAGGCACTAGTTATAAGCCTCTTGAAACTAATGACAGATGGGGTCCCTAGAGAAATCCCTGAGCTGGCACAGAGCAGAAGATGGATGGATGGTTTACGCAGTTCACATGAGAGGTCCTTAGCAGGGACAGAGGTTTTCATGTTTGGGGCAGTGCAAACACTCTAGAATACTCTCAGGGCTGCAGAAGAGTGGGGTCAGGGTCACCCAGAGGTTGAACACAGGAAGGGAAGAACAATGAGGGACTGGGCTGAACGTAGCTAGCTCCCAGTGGGATTGGCTGGGAGAGATAAGAAAGTAGAGGACCTTTCTGTGGCCTGGCTAGAGAGTAGGAGTCAGGGTGGTCTGGAGGATTTTGGGCTCTCTTCTTCAGAGAATTCCGAGCAGCCTGGTGCCCAAAGATGCCCAGGTATTTTTGTTTTCCTGAAATGGTCATAGTTTATACCTGTTGTCCAGGCATCATTACTACTACTGCCCCTCACACCCTGAATTTGGCCTAGTATAGACAAAAACTATATAGTCACCCTACCTATTGGGTTTATTATTAAAAACATTCTTATCCAGAGGCTTTTTTTCAGGCATATTTCCAGGGCATAAAGCACAGAATAGTGGTAGGAGAGCCTGTGTCCACAAAGAAAAGGCAGTGTTAGCTGATAAGCAGCAAGCACACATTATTACTATCATCACACGAACACCCAGCATTTAAATGCAAAAGTTGGCTTCATTCTTTTACTTGATCCACATTTATTGAGCGCCCCTATGTGCCAGGCACTATAGTAAATACCAAGAATACAGAGATGAAGAAGACACTGCCTCACCAGGAGCTCCCAGTCTTTATGACGTTTGCAGCACCATCAAGCAGTCCATGTGCATTATCTCATTTAGTCCTCACACCTGTCTCACACCATGGTGTATTATGGGCCTTGTTTTGCAAGTTAGGGACCTGCAGCTCAGAAAGGTGAAGGGATTTGTGCAAGCTTACACAAGTAGGTAAGTCCACTGAGGTAAGTCTTCTGAGCCTAAGTTCTTATTTCCAGAGCTGCACCCAGCTAGCTCTGATGAATTATCTGTATACCATTATCAATGTCGCAGCTACAGTGATGTGCTCAGTTCAAGAGAGGAAGAGTAAAATATCTGGGTGGTGGGGAGGGGTCCTTTCAGTTTGCTGTTCCCCTATGGGAAAGACTTCTTCCCTTGGCCGTAATGTGTAACTCTGGATTGGGGGAAAAGAAGAAAATTCCATGTTTATATCTCCACCTCAGCACTTGATTCACTGAGTGATTTTGGCCAAATTGGTTAGCACCTCTGGGCCTCAGTATTTGCACCTGTGACACAGGTTGAGCTATTGTTCTCTATCCCAGCGTAGTCAAAGGGGTGGAAATGAGGAAGCAGGGCTGGCTCCCGGGGACCTGCAGGGAAAAGATGAATAATATGGTGAAAATGTTTTGACTGCATGGTGTTGGGAGGTGGTGCAGAAGTAGTCCCAGGCTGGTCCTCTCTGAAGAGGTGACCTCTCACTCCCACCATACCTGTATATAGTTTTTCCTTTGACACTTGAGTGAGTGCCCTAGACCTTCCCCTGGACTGATGACTGACAGCTTCCTTTTTCCACTGCTCCTTTCCAGTCCCCCTCCCCCATCTCTGGAGGCCCTCTGACAGCTCTGGCTATTTATGGCACCTCTTGGGGACCTGAATTCCTGGCTGGTCCTTGTCTCTTCTTTCCAAGTAAGACCAGTTTCCCTTGCTGGCCCCAGAATGCAGCAGCTAATATGGGGGATCAGATGCCAGGAGCCAGACTCCTCCTCCTGCAGCTGCCACCAGACTCTTTTTAGGGCAGGCATTCCCGACCCCCGCCCTCAACCCCGGCAGTGGTAGCACTACTGAGTAAATTTCTATCAATATCAGCTTCCCGGAAAAAAGGGAACTGGGAAATAAGGTATCTAAGAGCTTACAAAGAGTCAGTGGGATGCTGGGATTTGAGCCCAGGTCAACCTCCAAGTTCTATGCTTTTGCCACTGTGTTATCCTGCCTGGAATTCAGTCACAGTGAAAGCTGTCACTAGCGCAGCCATTACTGAGAACCTGACACTGGTCTAAGCAGGTCACACAGATTAACTCATTTCATCCTCACAAGGATGTCGGGGTGGGTTGTAGTATTATCCTCATTTGTGTGTGTGTGTGTGTGTGTGTGAGGATATTGAGACCAGAGAGGTTAAGAGATTTGCCCAAGGTCATGTAGCTAGTAAGAACTTTGTGCTTC